CACGTTTGCGTGATCCCTCATCAGTACCACCTCCTTTGCCTCCCAGACCACATGCCGTGGGAAAGGCTGTAAAGGACAAAGCCAGTGAGCATACCCTAACTGCGACAGAGTGGCCTGCACTTCAAAGGGAAGCAGCATCAAGCGAACCGAAGGAGCTTCATGACAGCCAGTCCGCGCTCCCGGTTCGAGATCTTTCCAACCAAGACAGGCAAGTGACTGCAATCGTGCTGGTTCGAGATCTTTCCAACCAAGACAGGCAAGTGGCTGCAATCGTGCAATCATTAATTGCCACGATTCGCACGCTACTGAGCAGCATACAATCTCCGTCTGCTAAGAGTGCACTGCAAATACTGGATGCACTGAATCCAGTTCTTGCTAACTTCGTATAAGCACAATGGCTCAACAAAATATCATCTTCCGCACTGAAGTTAAAAGGGCGTCGATTTTTCAGTGGAATGCCAGAGGCATGAAGTCCCGTATCTCGCACTTTCGCCAATTTGCTCGGGCCAATCAATTCCCTATACTTGTCATATGTGAACCAAACGTATCAACGCCTTATAGATTGTCCGGTTATGAAGCTTTTTGTTCAGCCACTTGCGAAGAACGAAGCAAAGTAATTGTTTACATTCGCACAGACTTGACTTATCTTTCGCACCCAATAAGTTCAAATGACGACAATCAGTACGTGTGTCTTCGTGTGAAGAAGAATGCAGTTTCGTTCACGCTTATTGGTGGATATATATTTCCGTCATCGCGATTTGACTGCGACAGATTAAAAGACATCCTAATGAGAACCGATGGGCCTTGGATCATCACCGGTGACTTCAACGCCCATCACATGCTTTGGGGGAGCACTAGGATGAATTCCAGGGGCCGGAACATTGTTACATTCGCTTCCTATTACGACCTTTCCATCATGAACGATGGTACCCCCACATATCTGCGGGGTCTCACGTATGGCAGTTGCCTTGACCTGACATTGGTGTCACGGTGCTTCTCTCACAAAGTTAAGTGGTTTTGCGATATTGAGGACTCATGGGAGTGATCACATACCCACCTACGTGACGATCGATGGTATCATAAAAAATTTCTCTTCCGGTGTTGCAATTGGCACTGACTGGTCGATGTTTGCATCGCGTGTTGAGAAACGCTTGCCAAGAAGGCCTCGCCTGCAGCCTGGAAAATACCATAGTGGAAGCTATGCACGCGTCCAAATGTAAATTACCATTTTTCGTCTAAAGTAACACAGTTTGACATCGAACTGGAAAAATTACGAGCTATACGAAGGCGTGCTGAACTACGATACAGACGCACAAGATCAATTGACGATCTGAGGGAAGCAAGGCGCTCCAGAAAAATATTCAACGACGCATTTACAAACTGGAGAGCGAACGCTGGAAAGCATTCTGCGAATCTCTAGACCCTCATAAACCGCTGTCATATATCTGGAGAACAGTTCGTGGTCTTCGCTCCTCTCCACAACAACGGCACCCTTTTAAAGCTTTGGCACTCCATCATGGAAAAACAGAACTCGAGGGGGCTGCAAGAATTTTGCACGAGAGTTGCCGGGAATATTATGAACGAGAGCATCGACGCCGTGATCGTTCCTGAGACGCGATTACCCAGAAATGGACACTCCGTTCACCATGGAAGAACTGGAAGGTGCGTTAGTCCGCTTTCTAAGCGCATGTCGTCGGCCAGGTCCGGATGGTATTACTTATAGGGCGTTGGACACCTTGGACAAGAAGCTAGAAAAGAATTTTAATATGCTCAACAAACTCCTGGCTCAGCGCAGTGTTCCCGTGAATGGAAAATAAGTTTGATTAATACCACTTTTGAAATCGGGAAAATCACCATTGGACTTGACAGCGTATCGCCCTATTGCCCTCGCAAGCTGCCTAGGAAAAGTGATGGAAAGAATGGTTCTATTTCGTCTCGAGTGGTACTTGGAACGATACACCAAATACCCTTCTTCCATGGCAGGCTTTCGTCGGGGCCGCTCCTCCATTGACTGTGCCCTTGATTTATCGTCATTTGTTCAACAAGAAAAAAGTCGCAAGCGCATATCAGTGGCACTCTTTCTTGACGTGAAGGGTGCATATGATAATGTAGCTCACGATGCCATCCTCACTTCTCTCGCAGCAATGGGCATTGGTGGACGAATGTTTCAATGGATAAAAGATTATATAACTGGCAGGGGTTTCTTTGTACAAACATATGAGGGTACAACGGCCCAACATTACACCTACTGCGGAGTACCTCAGGGAGGTGTTTTAAGCCCCACATTGTTCAATGTGGCCCTCATTGGTCTGGTGAAGGTTCTGCCAAAGTCGGTGTGCCTATCCATATACGCCGATGATATTTGCCTCTGGAGTGCTGCAGTTACTCGCCCTCAGGTGCGTGCACGAATACAGCGGGCAGCAACCCTCACAACAGCCTACCTTCAGAAACAAGGCCTTACTATATCAACTGTGAAGTGCGCGTTGATGGCGTTTACACGCAAACCAATGACGCCATACCCTGTTTACATCAATGGGCAGAGTGTCAAATATGCACGTACGCATCGTTTCCTGGGCATAATAATCGACAGAAGTCTTTCGTGGAGCCCACATTGTGCGTACTTGAAGAAGAGACTGCTATCGATTGTGCATATCATGAAATTCTTGTGCGGTAAAGCATGGGGAACTTCTGTGGCCTCCATGCTACAGCTGTACAGGGCCCTATTTCTGGGTCTATCGCGCTACAGCTTGCCGGTACTGACTAACACTTGCAAATCGAATACTCATTCATTGGAGAGTTTGCGGGGTCAGGCACTGCGTATCTGCCTAGGACTGCCCCGATGTGCTTCTACTTATGCCACAATCATGCTTGCCAAAGACCATCCGGTCAGGACATATATAGTTGTGGATTGCCTCAGAGCGCACATTCGACATGCTAGCCGTGTCCCCGACCACCACTTGGCCCTTCTACCTTCCGGAAGACCACGTGCTACATTTTCAGACATCATAGCCAAGCACCTAAACAGCATTCCATCAGGATATACGCCAGCTGCGAGAACGGCATGCCCTTTGTGGTGCCTCGACCAGCCGCAAGTACGTCTAGAAATTCCGGGAATCAAAAAGAAAAGCAGTCACTCCGGAGTAGCATTGAAGCAAGCAACACTGCTATTATTACATGAGTTGTACTTAGACCGAACGCAGATATACACTGATGGGTCCGTCTCATCCAGCAGCTCATCAGGTGCCGCTGTAATTCCGGCTGCAGAAATGACAATCAAGTATAAGTTGTCGCATATGACTACATCTACGGCATCAGAGCTTGCTGCTATAAGGGCTGCTTTACAATATCTCGTTCAATAACGTCCAGGAAAATGGGTCATATTCTGTGATTCGAAGGCAGCGCTTCAGAGTTTGCAGTCTGCCATGCGTAGGAGGAGCCATGACCAACTGGTACAAGAAATAAGACATTGCCATCATGAAGCTCTAGCACGAGGGCATGATATTATATATCAATGGCTGCCTGGACATATCGGTATTACCGGAAATCAATTAGCCGATGATGCACCCGCTCAGCCCATGAAGAAACCCGTGTAGTCCCGATTCCTCTATCAAGGAATGATGCAGCAAGACAACTTTACCTGCTGGCTCGAGATCTCACACGCACGTTCTGGTCGTCTACCAGCTTCCAAGGTGTCAATTTTATGAACTGGATCCTTCGCTCAAGCTAAAGCTACCATCACAACTTTCCCGCTCCGATGCGACACTGTTATGCCGCCTTTGGTTGGGTGTTGCATTCACAAGGCGTACTCCTTTCGCATTGGTATGGCCGACACTCCTACATGTGACTACTGCGGAGATGAAGAGACCATCGAACACGTCCTGTGCAGCTGCGCTTGCTACGACACACAGCGATGCCAGCTACGACACACAGCGATGCCAGCTACGTATGGTTTTGAATCGACTTGACCCCGGACCATTTTGTGTGCAGAAGATACTAGGACCTTGGGCATCTGCCTCAGTTGCGCAGAAAGCAACTAAAGCACTGCTACTTTACCTTAAGTCAACAAACCTGAGCGACCGCCTGTAAACTGTGTGTGCTCCCCGAGTGTGCTCGTGATTGTGTGTACCTTCTCATCTTTCTGCAACCTCTTTTCTCCCCTTTATCCCCTCCCCAGTGCAGGGTAGCAAACCGGATGTGCGTCTGGTTAACCTCCCTGCCTTTCCTTGCATCTTTATCTCTCTCGCTCTCTCTTGTTTGTTTAAGGTGGGTTGTTGACAGGTGGTGCTACCTGCTGTATTCGCGCAACGCAAATGGAGCAACTATTAGCCTTTCTGCCTCTCGGAAATATGGAGGGCGAGTAACAGCATCACTCCAGAAGAAAATGTAATCTGTGGGTACAGAGAGGCAGGCCGACTTCAGTATAACATAAACAAGACCAATGAGGACAACAGGGAAAAAGGAGGGAAATGATACGTTTTCCTGAAAAACTGAGCCGTACTTGTCATGTACAGTTTTACCCTCATTGAGATCGCACAACAAGGAGCGGCTAGTTTCATCGAGTCAGTGCAGCCCATCCGAAACATCTTCCCCAATGCCTGCTGCTTCGACGACACTGAGGATGGTAATATGGGGTACATTACCGCATGTACCCTTTCTATCAAGGAAGAGTGTGGATGTGTGTGTGTGTGTGTGCGCGTGTGTGAGAGAGAGAGAGAGAGAGTGCGTGGGTGTGTGAGATATCAAACCAGGACAAAATGCCGTATCGGAGCATGCTTAATAATCCCAGAAATGAAATAGGGAACGAATTCGTTAATGAATACCCCGCACTCTGCTTCACGTATGATAGCTCTTCTGCGTAATGTTTTCTTGCATTCTGATTAATTAGGACATTTGACGCATACCTTACGTTACTATGAGTCACATGGCTTTTTTTTTATTGCGAAGGCTTGGGAAATAGCTGACACCATCTCTCCAACAGGGTCAATCATCTCCAATTCGTATAATTGAAGCAATCAGGACAATTGACGTCGGCATTACAGAAAAACGCTTCGTTGGGATCTATACTCAGCTTCAAGGTAAAGTAGTAATTTCTTACTACATTGACTGGCGTTGGGATACCGTAAGCATTTCGCATGAGAGCAGCTCACAAGTTTTTTTTTTTTTGGTTTTAGGTCTTCTACTGACATTTACCATAAGTATTCGTTAGTGCACGAAAGGCGCTGAAGAAAGCGAATGTGTTAACGTTTAGAACCGCTCCTACTAGCTGAACGCTATGCATTTGCGCACTTGAGTGCCAAGAGTACTTCCACTCCCTCAGCGGGAATGCCTTTGTGAAAAAAGTATATATTTTACCTAGTCTAAATAATCATGCATAGGAACCATTCGAAGTTTTAAGATATTGTGGTGACACTGAAGTAGTGTAACAAGTAAAAACATTGTAGTTTCGTTTAGTGAGGACGGTGTACTATTTATTTATACGCGGATGTGGCGATGAATAAATGTGAGTGCTGATATTGGCTGGGAAGTTGAACGTGACATGCTAACTTGATCGTTTTTGTAGCAGGACCACACGCACATACCACTGTATCTATTGAGAATTGCTAGCCATGGGTGCTTTTTGACCTCCCGAAAGCATGGCAACCGTGTTTCGCTAAGCAGATAAAATTTTGTCATGATTGGCGTTCTATGAACGAAAAATTGGGTGCCAGCGTTTACGCGTAGTTCTTTTTTCTTTTTTTTTGTTATGATATACACCAGGAGTCCCAAGCACGTAGCCGGCGGCATACACGTGAATGTATCCGTCACACAGCTGCATTTTTATTTTGCTAATAATTCCGTTTATGAACTACAGAGGCAAGACTGACCGGAGGCATTCGTTTGGTGAAGCACCCCATGTGTTCAACATTTCTTGAAAGATAACGTTGGAACAAAATCTATAGTTCTGAATTGGTACCCAAATCTCAGTGATTCGGTGATTTGTACTAAAATAATTAGTCCTGGGGCCGAACTTCCTTCAAAAATGACCCATATAATAGATATGGGAAAGGCTTTGCTTAGAGCGGTAACGTTTGCCGAGAGTCACAGTCTGTACGAAAAATGGCAGGTTGTACGTACCTTGGAAATTGATGTTATGCGAATCATGCGGCTACAAGGTGAATGTGTTCTATTTATTTTTTATCGAACGAGACGTCGTGGAGTGGCAAGAAATATACGTACAAATCTACGCACACACGTAAACAATAATGAGCCTCAAAAGTTGTATATTAGCATTTGTTTGCAGTTGCGTAATGATGCCAACAGCAGAATGAATATTCGAAACACCTCAAGCAGTTAGCTGATCTGAAGCGCTGGTTCTTACGCTGAGGCTCATGAGGATGGTAGCCCTCAACACTGCTACACAAGTCAGCCTCAGCGGATGGCGCCTATATACAATTGACGTTAACCCGACACGACGGGTGTATCAAAGTAGTACATAAGTCATGTCATATTATTTGATAGCCAGTACTGCAATCAGAATTGACGTTTTACGAACATTAGAGTCTGTTAAGAAAGTATTTGCGAGACATGGCGTGACTTTTTGGTAGAATACTTATTTGCCACGCAGAACGCTAGGTTTCGATTTCTGCTGGAACACTGGCATTTATTTTTTGCATCCGTCTGATCAACGCAGGCTCTGTCACCCTTTTCTTAACCATCAAGCCTTGAAATTACTCATCTGTGTTCTTGCCATTCCTGGGTAATTATAAAATGTCAATCACCTGTGGAGCACACCCGCATGCCAGTGGCACATACTCTCCCTCAGACCAGACGAGAACCGTTCTCGTCTTTCTTGTCCCCTTCCCTAATCACCCAGTGTAGGGTAGCCAAACGGATGTCTTTCTGGTTAACCTCCCTGCCTTCTCCCTTTTGTTGCTTCCTCCTCCTCCTCCCTCAGACATTGGCCACTGTTTTTATAGCAAAATCTGCTATGAGATCAGAACTCGGGTCAAGCGCAGTTGTCCGCCGCTGCCGGTGTCCATAACCACATCGCGTGAAATCAAAAAAAAAAAAAACTTAGCCCCAAAGACACAGTGGGGTTCGAAACCCGGGACTGCTGGGTGCCAGCCCGGTATTCTATCTCTGAGCTAGGCCATTGTTTGTGGCTTGTTGGCAAACCTAGCACCAAATACACAGTGGGGCTCGAACCCGGGTCCTCTGGGGGCCAGTCAAGTATTCTTGCTGAAAACTTGCCTTAGGCCTGCTTGTTGGCAAACTTACCTTAGGCAGGCTTGATGTCGGGAAAAAAATAGCGTTAATAGGACTTATAAAGCATTTTAAAACAGCAAAAGAACAACCAGTCGCCGCACAATGCGAATAGAGTGACGAGTGGGCCGTCCAATGCTCCAATTCATTTCAAAAGCTTGTTCTCGTTCCTGCGAAATGGACATTATTTTGTGACTCCCGGCCGGCACTTTAACTAATTAGAAACTACATGAAACAAGACGGTGAATACAGTCCTCTGGTGTGTGACAATGAATATGTCGTATGAGGCATTTCAATCCGGACTTACCATTGCGTTGCAATGGATTCCCTGCCATTGTGGCATAGCTGGGAATGAATAAGCTGATGCAGAAGCGAAAATGGCGCACACTAGTGGCGAAGTGATATGAATTCACTTCTCCTGACATGACATCAACGCCTTGCTGTCTAAAGGCATGAAGACATGCAAGGTATGCAATGACTATAGAATTATCCGGAGTATCACCACGAGCGCCTCTACAGGCTTGACTCTTGTCGTGCCTTTCGGCTTCTGTTCCGACTAAGGAGAGACGAAGAAACGCTACTGCATAGACTGCGGCTGGGCGTCGTATACATGCGACGATACTTATGCAAGATTGGACAAGAGCCAAATCCTAACTTCACCTTGTGTAATACGCCAGAGACGCTAGAGTGAGAGAGAAAGAACATTTATTTATACATCCGGTGTGTAGGAAGTCCCCGGCCTCGCAGGGCGCGGATGTTCCCTATCTTAAGATTACGGCTATTAGAGTCCGATAATCTCAGAGCCTAGACCTCGAGGATGTTCTGCTCTGACTAGGCGACAGTTACTCGGGTGCCTCCGCGCCCGTTAGACAGGTCGTCGGCTCCTTTTCTTCGTTGCTTCGCCATAGCCTCCTCAAGCCGCTAGATAGCCCTCCGCTGAATCTTCTTGTCTTCGGAGCGAATCCATGCTCTCACCTCTTCGGTATACGTGGCGTCCTGGCACTACCAGCTCCCACTGTGAATAGTACTGATACACCATCCCCACATGATGTGGTGGAGAGTAGCTAGTTCACGTTCACACACACTGCATTTTGCGTCCACGCACGAACCCCGACATGTTCGTGGATGCAAATTACAGAGACGCCAGAGAATCGCATCCCATGTGTGTGTCCTTTATACGCAGTTGAAAGACAATCTCTTAAGCGCCTCACAGATGACCTAGACTGCTGACCCTTTTCGGAAGAAAAACATTTGGGTGCTTGGGAACGTGTGGATCATGCCCAACGCAGTTTAAAGGGCCTGCTCGCATTTCTAAGCAAGACAGGTTTAGATTCCCGTCTTCAGAGCATCTGCTAATGTAGAGACTTTTGTTTGTGTGAGACACCGAATGAGACACTGTGTGCAGGGACTCATTGTGCTATACCACAATCACCCCTCATTATACCCTCCTCTTTCTTTTTCCCCTTACCCCCGTGAGGAGTAGAAGGCCAGAAACCCGCTTCCAAGACCGACTTCTTCTTCTTCTCCTCCCCCTCCTCCTCTTCCTCCTCCTCCTCCTATTAACTCTGGCGCATACCCACTTCAGCCATAATTCCTCATTGTCGTCAGCCACTGCATGAATATATGGCATGAAACTTCTTACGAATGTTTAGCGGATACCACGCTTCTCAGAAGAAGGACAAATGATAGCACAGAGAATGCGGGCCAACTATCCAAAAAATTATTATTAATGCCCTACTGGCTATCAAGCTAGCGTGCTCCCTGTAGCTACCCAATGAGTGTTTTAAAAAGGCTCTGAAAGGCCGCTCTTCTAACTTTCGCTTTGACTGTGCTGCGTTTTCCGCACCTGCCTGGCGTTTTGAAAAGTCTTTGATGACGTACGCGACGAGATTGTGACATATTTACGTCATGATTAGCGTGTTGGGTTCGTCAAACAATCTGAACCTCCTGTACTAATTTTGGTGTTCCCCAAGTTAAGGGGGTGACCAAGAGAGCAACCAAACGTAGGCGAATAGATAGATAGATATATATATATATATATATATATATATATATATATATAGATAGATAGATAGATAGATAGATAGATAGATAGATAGATAGATAGATAGATAGGTAGATGAATAGATAGATAGATAGATAGATAGATGGATAGATGGATAGATAGATAGATAGATAGACAGATAGATAGATAGATAGATAGATAGATAGATAGATAGATAGATAGATAGATAGATAGATAGATGCCGAAAGTGCTCGCCGTAAGCAAAGAAATGCTTCGCATTTAATACCATCCCTCCTTGCTTTTGCCTGCTTCTCTGTCCCGGATTTAGCGAGACTACATCACCTGACCGCGGCCCGCTGGCTGAGGTGAATTTCGGGCCCCTGGAATATAGCGTGATTTATATGTCGTGCACTATTCGTGCGCCGTTATATTTATCTGTAGCAGCATAATCTTCATTCTCAATAGAAAGTTTCTCCTCTACATCAGCTACTCATGGTGCTTTCAAACTACATGCATTCATGATGAAGTCAGTGATGTTTGCACCTAGTGTTAAACAACGCTTTTCACTCTCTCCACAGGGACATGGCGAATGTAACTAAGAGAGCATTCGGCACACTTTCGGCGTTAATTCTTGTATTAGCTGAAGTCCTAGGTGAAGGGAAGGACCCCTCGGGTAGCAGTGTCGTAGACGCTTTTAAGGTATGAAAGGTATTTGTTCTCATTTTTATTTAGAAATGGTTGTGTGGTCAATTTGCTGCCTAGAGTTAAGCATGCCATGTCGGAAGGGTAGGATTTATCTTCTTTCTTGGGAAATAGGCAGAGACTCTTCGTGTGGGCGTTCGCGTGGGCCGTTTGTCCGGACATCGCGCAAATGTGGGCTTGCTGACGTAAAGCGTTGGTTCGTTAACACAAATGTCAATTGCAATGCCTCAGCATCGTAAGGCTCAGTATTAGCGAATAAAGCACCTCGTGGATTGCCAGGCACTGGTCACGGTACTTCTAACGTAACAAATGGAAAAGCAAGCGAACAGATGAATAATAAGCGATATTACCTATATAAGTCAGAATAAAGATAAGAATTCTGGTTAACACGTAATATGAGAAGAATATCCAACTCAAATGGCCAAGGCTATAAACTACAACATGGCTTCCATCAACGAAGCCAAAGCACGCTGGCAAGCTGGTTGGCTGACGAGAAGATGGTGAAGAGGCTCTAAAGCCAAATAATCTCACCCCCGTATTTTACGCTGCAGCTGGTCCTTGTTATCATCCTGAAATGAATGTAAAAAACTTTAGATATAGCTGCATGCAAACAGAATTCATTGAACTGATAATTCAAAATAAAAGTGGACGACAGAAATGAGCATACACTTTCGTACTTCACTTACTCCACGACGTGTCAGCCTAGAGTTGTCTTGTTTTAATAAAAACACGGCTTACGTTTTGCTGTACCAGAATGCTGTCACATATGGTGGCCTTTGTGCCCTGAGTAGGTGCCGCTATCTCTGACAGATTCGGTGCCGCGCAGTTTAGGACAAGGCGCTATGTGCACAAGTGCAAGGTCGAGACACACCAGAAACGAAGAGCGGCTCCGACTGGAGGGACATTAAACGCGAGCTACCACGAGAATAATAATAATAATAATAATAATAATAATAATAATAATAATAATAATAATAATAATAATAATAATAATAATAATAATAATGTTCTTAATAATATTTATAATAATAAAAAGGCACAGCTTTGCGGCAAAACTGAAGCAATGAATGCAATAGCAACAAAGTGGAAGGTTACGCGAAGAATGCCAAGAACATCGAAACGTGCCCCGCGTTGCACGTGCGCAAATCACGCACAAAACGTACTCGCAGGTACAGAAGTTGTTACTTTGCTGTGTCTGAAAAGCGTGCCCTCGCCCCGCCGTTTTGGTCTCAGCTGCTTACCCGCAGCTGCTTACCCGTAAGTACTCGGCTGCTTACCCGCAGGTCGCGGGATCGAATCCTGGCTACGACGGCCAGCTTCATTTTCTATGAAGGCGGAAATGCTGTAGGCCCGTGTGCTTTGATTTGGGTTTACGTTAAAGAGCCGCGGGTGATCTGAATTTCCGGAGCGTCTCTCACAATCATATGGTGGCTTTGGAACGTTAAGCCCCACATATCAATCATCAAGTAAAAGCGCGCCATTTTCGCCAACGGAGACTGTGCAGCAAGTGCAGTTATGTTTGTGTGCCCTGTAGCTACAACCGAATCGTTCCGGTGGAAGCCCAAGGCGTACGATTATCCCCACCACTAGATGAGCGCGAGCACGCGTGAGCATCCACCCGGCGCCTCTCTCCGCGGGGCAAAGTACGCCTGGAAGAAGAGAGGGCGCGCCACCGCGTCGTGACGATCTGGCGACGCGCGTTCAATGCTACATCTCGATGGTAATGCTTAAAACACAATAGTTCTCTAAGATGGCAGTCGGCTGCAGTAAGTGGTAAATATAAATAGCTTGCGGTTTCAACGTTGAAGGAGGTGCTCCTTCGTGGCTCAGTGGCTCACGCCTCGCACTCACAAGCAAGTCGACCGTTCGAATTCGCGTGCCGGAATTTTGACTGTATTATTTTCTTTCTTGAATTTTTATGTATATATGGAGATACGCATACATATGCGGTGAAGTACACCGACGGCCATGTCGACGTCAACGCCAGTGGCAAAATTTAGCCGAGAGTGTCTACATGATTGCTATCGCAATAATAAAAAAAATAGACACCAGGAAGGCTGAAAAAAAAAAGATACTAGATAAAGATGCACTAAAAAACCGGTTCTGACTGACGCAGAAGTAACGGGATCAGAAACGAGTAGGTTGAAACTCGGTGCAGTAGAATATGTTAACATTTATATTTAGTAGACCGCTTCTAGAAAAGTTGCTGCCGTCCATTTTGGGCTCTATTTCCACGAAGAGAGTATAGTCATGATGTGTGCAGTAGATAACAGGAGATAAGTCATTCGCATTGCATTAAGTGTACGCATGTCTCAGAAGGGCGTAAATTCCTCTTATGCTTTCACATTGCAGATCTTTCGGACTTTTCCGCACGGCACAACCATATTTGATATAGATGGTGATGGGGACCTTGATTGTGTTACCGCTGTTCGTACCGAATTCAACGAAGATCCCCTGGAAACAACTTATGTTCTACTCTTCAAAGGCCTCGGTGGGAGAGAACCGTGAGTTGCAATTATAACAGTTTAACGGGGCAATAAAGACAAATTTAAGGAGAAAGAAGGACAAGAACAACAAGAGAGAAACGCAGGGAGATTAACCATGCACATGGCCGGTTCGCTGCTCTACGCTGGGGGAATAGGAAAGGGGTGTATAAAGATGAGCGAGGGAAGCACCGGCGTGGCTCAGTGGTAGAATACTGAGCTGGCCCGCTAGGGACCCAGGTTTGAATATCAGGAGAAAAATGCAGAGAATATCAAAGAAATCCTTTACGCAATCAATTAATGAAACTTCACGGTGAAAATCACCTTTCATTTTATTACGATATGGTTGAAGAACTTGTTTTGCCTAATTTCTGCTGTCAGCGTCATTGGGCCCGAGAGACAACTCAGCGTTGTTAGTGAGCGAAAAACTGAAATATATTCCAAGTAAATAAAGAGTCTCGGTTATAGTGGGAATCAAACCAACGTCACCTTCACGGCAAGCGGGTATTCGACCATACATTCATGCCAATGCTTTAAACTGCATCGAAAGAAAGGCAGGTACGAATGTTACATAAGTGAGCAGTCTCAACATATATGACATTGCGGCGCACAAGCGTAGTCTCCATGCAGGCCTCAATACGTGTAATTTGTACAGTGAGTTGACGATTCGAAGGCCCACCCTTTACACACATGATTTGTCGTCATCAACAGGAGCAACATCATCATCAAAATATGCAGCTGCCCCGCCTAGTAGGCTTTAGGCTCGCGTAGCGGGCACTTGGCCAGTTTGCAATAGGAAGAATTATGGTGAAGTCGGAACTTCTCAATCGTATCTTCATATCAAGATAATTTGAAATGGTCAAGCCAAGTCTTACAGAGCACGACTCATCTTTGAAGTCTTCCGGGGCATCGAATTTTGCGGTTCATTGCAGAGAATGCGCCTGCTGTTCTGTTTTACAGGACACTTGAGTGGTTTTTGTAGTAACAATAAGCTAACCCGCGATATGACTGAAGCATTTTACATAAAAAAATAGCAGATCAGAGCGTCAGCCAACCTTCGATGTTGCGACATGAAAGGGAGTTTTCTTTTCTAGGTATTGTTTTCGGATAATCTTTTTACATTTGGTAACTGACCGTCATCGTCTGGCTATGGTTGTCCTTTTGCGTTTACACGCATGGCTTGATCGTCAATTGATGCATTTATATTCCCCCTTCCAAAAAATCTTTTAGTTGTGAGTAAGCCCTTGTCCTGTGTTCCTTTGCAGCCTTTTCGTGCGCTTAAACACCAACCATATTATGCATCTCAACCAACTGGCCCAAGTGTCAATTCTCTTGCAAGTCATTGCTACCAACACAGATATTCTTGTCGTGGAAGGCAGGTTCCATCTGTTCACCAAGAAGAGAAGCTAGAATAGACCTTCAGATGGAGACATGAGCGGGACTAGATTAAGCTATTGCTTTCTGCCCGAGAAAGCGAAGCTCACGCTTCTTCAAACGTTCTTTTTGCTCAGTCAACAGTCAATTTCTAGTTTTATTAAGCCTCTAAGCATTTCGAATTATTAAGTGCGACAAGGAATATGCGCGTATAGCAGGAACGTCCGCCATTATTGCAGCGAACAGGTGGTGAATGCGCCAGAAGAGAGGAAGGAGTGATGACTGAAGACGAATAGGCAGAAGTGGGTTGTGGATTGCGGGCTCGTGACCAGCTCAGAACGGAATAAGAACAGCCGGCCCAACGTACGGCCGTTGTCTTTTACTTCTCGTTATTACAAATTACAGGGATTACGAATAGCAGGGATGGCTCTGGAATGTTAACAAAATTTATACTGCAGTCTAACCTCGTTGTTACGAACACTGCTATAGCAATTTATCACTTATAGTGAACTAATCACGAGCTTTGGTTAGTCATGCATCATTTCAGTGACATTTACTAACATGGAGAACGCAAAAGTCGCCGCGATTTTTGTTATAACAAAGAATTCTTTGTTCGTGTGGGGGTCAGCTCTATAGGTAGCCTAAAATACCAGTTATATGCTAAAAGGTAATTCACAACTTCATTTTCATGTGAAATACAGTTGTAGCGTCGATATTTGACTTGAAAGTGTACGTAATCTTCTGCAGAAATTTCAATAAGACAGGTCCCACAAATGTTGTTCATATGGTTAAGTCTTCTGGAAGCTACATGATGGAACTCTAAACGTCCGAAACTATTGCACGCAGAAAACCCCTCTACTAGATCATCATCATCATCATAATCACCACCACCACCATCACCACCACCACCACCATCATCATCATCATCATCATCATCATCATCATCATCATCATCATCATCAGCCTGACTACGTCCACTGCAGAATATAGGCATCTCCCATATTCCGCCAGTCTACTCGGTCCTGTGCTTGCTGGTGCCAATTAATACCCACAAACTTCTTAATATCAGCTGCTCACCTACCCTTCTGTCTCCCCCTAACCCGCTTACCTTCTCTGGGAATCCAGTTAGTTACTCTTAATGACCAGCGGTTATCTTGTCTACGTGCTACATGCCCGGCCCATGTCCATTTCCTCTTCTTGCTTTCAACGATGATATCCTTAACCCCCATTTGTTTCCTAATCCACCCTGCTCTCTTCTTGTCTTTTAAGGTTACACCTACCACTTTTCTTTCCATTGCTCACTGCGTCGTCCTCAATTGAAGCTGAATCCTCTTTGCAAGTCTCCAGGTTTCTGCTCCATAGCAAAGTACCGGCAAGATGCAGCTGTTATATTCCTCTTGAGGGATAGTGGCAATCTACCTGTCATGATTTGAGAGTGCTTGCCAAATGTACGCCACCCGATTGTTATTCTTCTAGTTACTTCAACCTTGTGGTTCGGCTCCGCGGTTGTTACCTGCCCTAAGTAGACATAGTCTTTTATAACTTGAAGTGCACTATTACCTATCTCGAAGTGCTGCTCTCTTCTGAGGTTCTTGTACATTACTTTCATTTTCTGCAGATTAATTTTAAGACCCACCTTTCTGCTCTCCTTGTCTAACTACGTAATCATGAGTGCGATTCGTCCCCTGAGTTACTCTGCAATGCAATGTCATCGGTGAAGCGCAGGTTACTAAGGTACTCTCTATTAACTGTTATGCCTAACTGCTTCCATTCTAGGCCTCTGAAAACCTCCTGTAAGCAAAGGTAAATAGCATTGGGTAGATTGTATCAACCTGCCTAACACCCTTCTTGATTGGTATTTTGTTGCTATCTTTATGAAGCAATGTGGTAACAGTAGATCGCCTGTATATTTCTTGCAGGATGTTTATAAATACTTCATCGACTCCCTGATTCCGCAGTGTCTGCATTACTGCTGATATTTCTACTGAATCAAACGCCTTCTCGTAATCTATGAAGGCTATGTATAGTGGCTGGCTATATTCTGAGCATTTTTCTATTCCCTGATTGATAGTATGAATGTGCTTGATTGTTGAGCAGCCTGTTCGAAATGCTGTTTGTTCTTTTGGTTATTTATATTCTAATGTTTTCTTACCTCGGTTAGCAATTACCTTTGTAAACAGCTTGTATACTACGAAGAGCAAGCTGATCGGCCTGTAATTCTTCAAGTCCTTGTCCTCTCTTTTTTTATGTATTAAGGTGATGTTAGCATTCTTCCAAGACTCGGGCACTCTTCCCGTCAGGAGACACCTCGTAAACAGGGTGGCTAGTTTTTCTAACACAATCTGTCCTCCATCTTTCAGCAGATCTGATGATACCTGGTCCTCACCAGCAGCTTTACCTCTTTGCATGCTCTCCAAGGCTTTCCTGACTTCTATCATTACTGGTGGGGTGTCATCTGGGTTACTGCTAGTTCTTATAGTATTAAGATCGGGGTTGTCCCGGCTACTGTACAGGTCTCTTTAAAGCTCCTCCACTATTTTAACTATCCTACCCATATTGGTAGTTAATTTTACCTTCTTTGTCCCTTAGCGCATACATCCAATTTCTGCTTATCCCCAGTTTTCTTTTCACTGCTTTGACGCTTCCTCCGTTTTACAGAGCGTGTTCAATTCTCTCCATGCTATACCTTCCTACATGTAATACCTTACGCCTATTAGTCAACTTCGAAAGCTCTGCCAACTCTATTTTATCTGTTATACTTGAGGCTTCCATGCTTTGACGCTTCTTAATGAGGTTCTTCGTTTTCTGAGACAGCTTGCCAGTGTCCTGTCTAACTACCCTTCCTCCAACTTCCACTGCGCACTCCGTAATGATACTTGTCAGATTATCATTCATTGTATCTATGCTAAGGTTGGTTTCCTCACTAAGAGCCGAGTACCTGTTCTGAAGCGAGACTCTGAATTCCTGTGCTTTCCCTCTCAGTGCTAGCTCATTGATTGGCTTCTTGCGTATCAGTTTCTGTCGTTCCTTTCTCAAGTCTAGGCGAATTCAAGACCGTACCATTCTATGGTCACTGCATCGTACCTTGCCAAGAACTTCCACATCCTGCACGATGCCTGGGTGTGCACTCATGATAAAGTCTATTTCGTTCTTATTTTTGCCATTAGGGCTCCTTCATGTCCACTTACTGTTTCCTCGTTTTGGTAGAAGGTATTCAAAATCTGTAAATTATTGCGTTCTGCGAATCCTACTAGTAGCTCTCCTCTGGCAATTTTAGTACCTATGCCATATTCTCCCACTGCCTGGTCTCCAGCCTGCTTCTTCTCTACCTTCGCTATAAAGTCTCCCGTCAGTATAGTATACTGTTTTTTTACCTTACTCATTGGCGATTCCACGTCTTCGTAGAAACTTTCAGCTGAACCGTCATCATGGCTGGACGTAGGCGCGTAAGCCTGTACCACCTTCATCTTGTATCTCATATTGAGTTTAATTACAATACCTACCACCCTTTCATTATTGCTATAGTATTCCTCTCTGTTGCCAGCTATGTTTCTGTGAATAAAGAACCCCACTCCCAGTTCTCTTCTGTCAGCCAAGCCCCGATAGCAAAGGATGTGCCCATTCTGTAGCACTGTATAGGCTTCATATGTCCTCCTAACCTCACTGAGCCCTATTATATCCCATTTAACACCCTCTAGCTTCTTGAATAGTACAGCTAGACTTGCCTCACTAAATAAGGTTCTGGCGTTAAACGTTGCCAAGTTCAGTTTCCAATGGCGGCCTGTCCGGATCCAGAGATTATTAGCACCCTCTAAGAATACCTGGATCCCAACAGGCCACTATGGTGCCTATCTACTAGATAGACACCATGAAAAACATGTTGTGACGAGTATATGCGTATTTATCTCCTCATTTAGGGCAATTCAGAAGGCTGATCTACCCGAATTGATTTCACATACCTCTTTTTATAACGAATACCAATTATGAAAAAGTAAACTATAATATTCATGTTTCTTTTTTATGCGGAGGTTATACTGTACTACGTTGAAAGGGAACGATAAAAAAACAAGAAAAATTTTAAGGTCGTCAAAAGTATCAAAATAGGCATGGGTTTGACCATAGTGACTGTTAAACGTACGAAAAAATTATTACTGTAATTAAGCTATGACGTTCGGCTACATGGCTCTTAACCGAATATCGTACAATTTTGGAATAGGCAGTATTAATACAAAACCTCAGTACTGGGATTGCCATACAAGAGAATGACTCTTGATACACTGTTATTTTTTTTAAACCCCTAAAGAACACGGTACATAGTTTGCTTCCTTTAGAGTAAAAATGTGTGAGTACACTGTGGCTTTAGGGAGCACTATTTTAAGACTGATTGTTGATAAAATACTACTGTATAGTATGTCTTAAAATTTATTTCCTCAGTTTAAAACAGTGCCACTCAGCAATAAAAACAAACATATGGCAGTATTGCAAGTAGCCCGTACTGAGCTTCTGAAATAGACAAAAACGATTTGTATGGATCATTATTATTATTAAGAAATTGACGGCAGAAAAAAATAGGTACTCACACAGCGGCATGTGCATGTATCAGAAGATATGATAGCCTGTGAAGCCCGAACCAAAAAGTGAAAAGTTTAATCACTATTTCTTGTACTATTGGTGGGATCAGCTGAACAAAAATTAATTATGATATATTGACGAGCCGTCAGCCTTCAAACGTTTCACTGCAGTACAAGGGCTTTTATGCACAGCAACGCTGAGGTGTGGTCTTCGGCATTATTACGATTCTAGTAGATGTGTGCCAGGTACCGAAAACTGTGGCATTGGTTCACGTGTGTTGGGTCATTTCTTCGTACGAAAACTGATCCACCACATTACACTCATCCCGTACAAAAACCCATCCACCACATTACGCTCAATGGTGGGCGACATTTGGCTGCGTAACTTTGCTCTACCCAACTACAAAGAAGTCAAAGCTATTAAAATACGTGCATGGCAGAATAATTCCTCATCTTTTGTGACTCTGTCCTCAGCTGTTTCTCTTGAAGGGCCTAAACACCGGAATCGGGTGGTAACTTAACAAGAAACTAAGTTCAACGCGAGTTTTGCCTGCTACAAGAAATTCTGCGAAGAATGTTCACAAGAAACACACAACTTGACGTAAACTTATCTTATTTTCACATCTAAAAACAAAGCGTGCCTCCTTTTCAGTCTCGCTGCGGTAACTGATTGAGAAAATGACAAAAAAAAAAAACTCCGGAAGGCCTGACTTTGGATGTGTCCATGACAAATGTAATAGTTGCGCGAACTTTCTGTCTTAAAAATCCTCTGGTACTGGTGCAAAGAGAAGAAAACTGAAATGCTTTTCACCCTCCACTATCTTGTGTACAGATGGACGCCGTGTGTCGGATTTTCGTGACGCGGATAGCAATAACGACATGACCGAGCTACCTTTAGACGCAGCTGTACCTTTCGGTTAAACATGCGACGCAAAAGTCAAGGCGCACACATGAAATGTTTGAATTGGAACGATTTATTTGTTCACTACGGAAAACACGTACTACTTTTTACACAGCCATGAGTATGTTCACAGCTAAGATAGTAAAAATTCGTAGCAAGGCCAACTCCAGGTTAATTTTTGTGTTTGAATATTGTTTTCGTTCAGAGATCACGGTGACAGCCGTATCAAGTGTATTAAACACTGTATTTGGGGAGTTGGTCGGAGAGCCTTGGTAATTTTGAAGTTCTAAACAACCAATAAAACACCATCTTACATGTCATATGCTCAATAGCCCAATTTGGACAATACATTGAGTTTGAATGCATGGTTTATATGATAATTTCCGAGCTTCTGTCCACCGGCTTTCATTCATTATCAAAATATTTAATGAATATTTCAGACGTAACATATCATTTCACATCAAGCCTGGTCGAACGCCTGACAGAACGCAGTTTACCGTTGATGATGGTAAGTAAGAACGCAAAGTAATATAAATCATTGAATTTATTTGTTCACCGCTGTTACAGGCTTGTAACACGATTGCAGTCATCAAAAACTCTAAAAGAAAAAGCCAGAAATTTTCTAGACTCAGATTACTTTTGCAGTTCAATGGCACGATTAAGGAAAACAAAGAATGAAACTGTTCAATGAAATGAGTTTTCTTATAGGAGCGTCCACATTGCTCATGATGTTCACATTAGTTTTCAGAGAGGACGAATGCAGTACATGACCTTTTTTTTAAATTCCAGAAACTCTCGTCTTTTTCTTAGGTGAAAATTGTAGCATCAACATGCTACCATTTATTGCTCACTTGTGGCTGATCACATTTTCATCGTAATTCTGTCATGAGCAAATTTATTTGTGGTGATGTGGTGATGAGTGGTAGAGGGTAGTTTCTTTGCGACGTCACTGGTTGCAGGCAGCACTGTTGAGAGTCCGACGTGAAAAAAAAAAAAGTGCAAAGGCCATACACTTGAACTCGTATTCGGCAGATAAGCATTCTTCTCCTTCAAGCTAGTGCAGACTAAACATTGCCTGGGAAAGCGACCTCCAGGCTGCATGTCAAAGGTCGAAAATAGAAAAGAACTGCTTTTTTGACGCCGGATAATGTAGAGAGAATGTGGAGTTGCAAAAACAGCTTCAGGGTGAGTGTTCTTAGTCACGGTTCGCAAGTGACTATACTAGCACGCTTGGATTGCCTATGAGTGGATAGTGAACTAGGAGGAACGGCTCCAAGTGACCAAGGCGGGTATGAAAAACACCGCTTGTGTTGCACAGGAATTGTACATCACAACCGAGCATGCGATTGTGCTAGTTTATGCGGGTTGGCAGTGCGGCGGGTACCTACGCACAATTATCGGGAGCATTGTTTGCAGTATTATCATGTTCGTTGGAGATGACGTAACAGTAAGCTAGGACTAACCGATGTGCTACGTCTTGCAGACGTTTTGCCTACTCATCGTTTATAGCTGCCTCATTTACAGCATAAATATCTATATTCTTTGAAGAAACACGCCTACACGTTTTAAATCAGGCTTGAGTGCTTCGTTATTTTTCAACACATGGGCTTAGTATTTCATTTATTCTTTCGTATCAGCCATGGTCCTTTCCTACAGTCATTCCTTGTGTCTTCGAATATTCGCCATCAACAAATACTTTTCTATATCTAAATCTATTTGTAAGCGCTGGGAAATAGCCGCGAGGCATGCACACCGCAAGTCCTCTTTTTGTACAGCGAAGGAGCAAGAAGAAAAAAGGAAGCTCAACAAAACGCGCATACGGTTTGCTACCCTGCGCGGGAGGGAAGAGACAAAGCGATTAGGCGATAATGAGAGGACGTGGCTGCTAGTGGTGACAGTGATCACGAGCGCGTTCGTGACGCATGGTGACTGCATCCGGTAAACAATCATTCTCTTTGTGGTGCTCGGTTGCACAAGGGAGGGACCACAATCATTCGAAACGCAGGCATGCTAGCTCGTACTAAGTCGTGTGGAGGGGCACGCGAGCGCTGTGTATGGCGCCATGGCAAGCAAGGCTCCGCCGACCCGACTAAGAATTGCAGATTGAACAGTCGTCTACCATAGGTTCTCACCATGCTGTACAAACCCTGCCACTCGCCCTCTATGCAGCCACACGCTTCGAGGATAACGCTTTAATCATGAAGCGCTAAGCATAATTTTAACGCTTAAATACTTCTCGACTAGAAATGTTAAGAGAGAGAAGAGAGAAACGAGAAAAAAAGGAAGGCAGGGAGGTTAACCAGATGCTAGTATCCGGTATGCTACCCTTCACTGGGGTTGGAGAATAGGGTGTTGAAAGAGAAAGGGAGAGTTAAAAAATAAATAAGAGAAAAACACCGACACACACGCACACACAAAATCAGTCCACTCAGAGGCGTTCCGACAGGCCAGTAGTTCGCAAGAAGCCCAGTAGCGCTTGCACGGCTTTCTTCTGTGACGATGAGTCATGACGATGGCGCAGTATACTTTCTTCTGACAGCGGCTGGTCATCTAACCTGTTTAGTTTATTAGAAAGGTGTTGTCTTTCCAGGTTGTATTTCGGGCAGTCACACAGGATATGTCGAATTGTTTCTTCATCTCCGCAGTGTGCACAGTCGGCGGTGTCGGCCATACCTATGCGGAACGCGTACGCGCGGGTAAACGTGACTCCCAACTATAGTCTGCACAGAGAAGTAGCGTCGCCTCGTCGAATATTTGTTGGAAGCTGTGCGCTTAACGTTGGATCAAGGGATCGTAATCTTGCATGCGTAAAGAGAGGCTCATTCGAAAGAGCCATGGAGCGTTGGCGAGTAAGCATGCGGAGCCTCCTAGCAGCGTCCGTCCTTAAGAGAGGTATTGACTGGTTGTTGTCTTCTGTATGGGCTGAACGGGCAGCTTGATCAGCTTGTTCGTTACCGATAATTCCACAGTGGCTTGGCAACCACTGAAATATAACGTGGTGCCCTTTCTCTGATATATGGGGTAGCATTTCTGCTGTTTCAAATACCAACTGCTCGTGTGGACCACGGCGTACATTTGGCAGAAGTGACTGCCTTGCAGTCGCAGAAAATCGTCCACCGTTGCGTGCTTTGGTCGTTAATGAAACGCAGCGCAGCGCGAAGTGCTGCAAGCTCTGCTGCCGTTGTTGTGGTTGCATGAGCTGTCCTGAATTTGATGGTTGTGGCGTGCCTTGCAATAACGACCGCCGCAGTTGAGCTGTTTGGCAGGACGGAGCCGTCAGTGTAGACGTCGGTGCAGTCTTCGTACTTCTCGTACAGCAGAAGTAAGGCGAGCTGCTTGAGGACTGGTATTGGGAAATCACGTTTTTTCTGGATGCCTGGTATTGTCAGGTTGATGACTGGCTGTTTGAGGCACCATGGAGGAATTGAAGGTCTCGCGGCGGGCGTAAAACCAGTTGGTAGGGAGTCACCATGTGTAGTTATTGTACGACAAAAGGAAGTATGAGGTCTATCCGCTGGTAGAGAGGCTAGGTGGTGATGGGGAGTGTGGCCCACATGCCTTATGTGTGTCCTCAAAGCTTCAATTTCAATATGGGTCTGCACGAGGTGGTCTTTGGCTATAGCTATAGTCGCCATTGTTGAGGCACCCTGAGGCAGACCTAGACATATTCGAAGCGCCTGTGCCTGAACGCTTTGTATCATGCCTCGACTTGTTTTGCTGGCGTTTGATAATGCAGGCTGCGAAATGTTAAAATGTTAAAAAGCACAAGAAGGTGGTGTTCGCAAGCAGCCGCCGAAAAAGCCGGGTCCAGAAAACACCTGACATTTTATATCGCAACTTACGACAGGGCCAATGACTTCTGCAGCAACCAGCTACAACCACAGCTCACAAAATACGCGCAGAAGACTTCGCAGCACCCCTCCGTTATAACAGTTTAGTAAGAATGTGCCTTGGCATCATCAGCACCTTTCTTATTTGGAGAATCTCACGCTTCGACGCGCTGATGTGTTGGTACGCGTAGACTCATATGTCAGTTTTTCAAACAGTTGTGCGATGAACCAACCACGTGACCACAACGGGGAAAGTGGTCTGTCATAATATGCGCCAGACTAAGACTACGTCAGTTGCTAACAGTGTGCGCGCCACCACAGACTAGAGGTTTTTGGTTAATATGGCACAGTCTTCTCAAATAATGCTCTAATTTACCGAAAATCACCTCTCCCAGATGGGAGGCGGATATGCGCAGCTCGTACTTGGCAGATCAGCTCTGGGCTGTTCGTTAAGCCGCGAGGCGCCTGAGGAGCTCGGCATCTCAGTCCCCACGTGGGAGCTGCCCGCAACACAGTGATCTGTGTTTTGGAAAACCAAATAAAAGTTTATCCAATCCAATCTCAAATAATGCTGTAGTACTATCAAACCTTTAGACAGGAAATAACGGAGGTGTTTCCTAATGTCTCAAATCTTTTATTTCTAGGTTTGACACACTCTGACGACCGCTAGACGTTATCGCTCCTTCAGCTGGGTTCACTTTTGCGTTCTGTCTCGAGCGCGCGTTGCCTGGCAGCGCAACTTTATCGTCATCGGCGAAAATAATGACGGATTTCCATTCACCAAATCGAGATGGCATGTGTCCAAAGCCCAGTACAGCCATTCAATACCTGCAGTCAATTTATACGGCTGTAGGCCGAGTGCCAACATGTTAGTCGTTGGTGATACTTCGTAAAACAGAAGACCGTGACACACCTTGAGAGACTCCCTTCTGTAGGGAACGAAGTCGGGCAATTGTTAAAATAAAGGTACTTTAGCCTGGAAACTGCTCCGCTACAGAACGATTGGATATCCACATTCATAGTGTGCCTGATCTTCTCAGTCCGTCCTCCTATAGTGCCGAACACCATAGGTCTCAAGGATATTTCTAGCGAACGTAACAGTGCACTCGGCACAATGTTGGTTATTGTCGTGCTGAAAATTTTCCTCATTCAACTTTTGCAGATTACCATTTTGTTCAACATGCCCGTTTTCAATACACAAACTATGAGAACTGCGCCGTCATGGAGCAACCCTTTAGAGGTGTGCGGGGTAAGAAAAACCATGCTTGCCTTGCTGCACTGAAAAAAAAAAAAACAGTGCTTGTGTGTATCATTGCAAAGGCGTTGGCGACAGACTGACATCGAAGAAGCAGAGCAAGAAATTTGTACTACAGTGCTTAAAAAATCTGAAATACAATTTGCTTAATCAAGCAGCCCGCAGTACCTCAAATTATATTAAGGATCTTCTAAATGCGTAAAAATGTTTATTAAAATGCTAATCCATTATTCTTTACCAATGGAATGTTCGATGAATACTGATGCTACAGTAAGTGTCGTATATTCAAGGAACCATGAAGATTGAACTATAGAAATACAGAAAAATGTTTCACAATAATAATGATCAACCTTTAGGTATGCAGCACTTGTCTGTACACTTCATCTCTATATATGTTGACTTCTTGACTTTTTTTTGTTGTTTTCATTGCCGCTCTGCTTATGAGTGCTTGTTTATTTATTTACAATACAGCTTCAAGATATATTATGAAATGAAATTGTGAAATAAAGTCCAATGTGCTGTTTGAATAAATCTCAGAACTGCGATCCGTATATGCAACAACAAATCCGAGCCACCCACTGATGCAGTAGAAAGTACAAAACAGGAACCTTAACTAGAAACTCGTTAATTTGCCACGTTCATCTAACTAAATTCTGTGATTCTGTCCAAACTTAGCAATAATATTCTCCGGTGGTCTCTTTTGCACTGAGGTGCAGAAACTATTCCTTGCACATTTTTGTTGTGCGCAAGCAAATTTGCCCTACCTATCGCGATGTCAAAAATTTTAAGAAAAAAAAACAACACATGACGTTTTAGCTCCAAGTTGTGGCCAGTGCTTTGGTGAGGAGGCACTGTGGTGCTCGTACAAATTTCATTAAGCTAGTAAAGCAGGGATTTTCTCCTCCATTTCGGCAACGTGCCTGACCTGCTTGTACGTTCTTGGAGAGACCACTTGGACGTTATTCAAGATTCGGGCACTTTTGGCTCTGTATGGTGCTGTCTAATGTGTTTCCACTAAAGACAACATTGCTTGGCACAAAGACGAATCGTCTGTCATTTTGTAGCACTTCAGCACTCCCTGTGATGAATTGAGAGACTTGCGTTACAACACATATGTCCTTGTTCGTGCTATTTATGTTTTTTTTTTCTATTCATTCCACAGAGTGTGTATTGTGGACTACGCAAGACACTTTTCATGAAATGCCCGAAGATTGCATGCTAGAGTACGGGAAGAGCTGTAAGGATGCAGTGAAGCCTTATGACGAAGAAATCTGTGCTGAATTTGTTCCATAGGACATCCTTTGTTGTGCATTTGTCATCAGCTCTGACAAGTTGTCAATAAATTCAATAAATGAAGGCCAGCCAGAATGTACTTTATAAACAGTTAAGCACAATCCGCTGCACGCATGGAGCTGCAAGTGGGATAGCCAGCATTTTTGTTTAGCTCTTTTAAGTGAGAATTTGAAAAAAAAATCCAGTGCTGAAAATTTCATGTGGTGTGCTTCTATTTGCTTCGTCTCAGTAGTCTCATATATGGGCTATCGCAAGGCAAGTCCGCAAACACTGCGAATTGTGGCATCTTTTTCTGTTGTAAAAAGAATTCAACGCATGGTTAGAAAATAAGAAAACAGTCCAGCAGTGGATGACGTGGCATCTCGCTGAATGTGATTCATTTTCATAAATCTTTTTCAGTGAATTATCACTTAGTACAAGTGAATCTGCACCATCACTAGTAACAATGTTTTATACATATCTTTTATGCATGTATATACATCTAATATATAGTGAATCGCTCATCGAAGTTGAATGAAATATAGCCACGAGACCCGCAGTATACTAAGATAAATTGGGCGCTGCAAACATCCGCTGTGGCACTTAAATCGTACTTGTAAAACGAACACTCCTCTTTCCCGCCTGAGATATGTTTGTTGGAATTACGTAAAACCTATAATTTATTTGCCACAACATTTACCGACATATTCCACAGAATCGAATGCAGCAATGTGCTCATAATTATTATTACCTGTGGCTTCGGTGAGCTGTGGCCAGGATTCGATCCCGCGACTAGCGAGTCAGTAATTGAGTGCCTTTGCCGCACGGCTAAGGTTCCGAGTGGCTAAGGCACTCTGTGGCGAGTGAAAAACACGGTTGAGCCCTACTTATGGCAATTGATATAACGTAATTGTAAACGACGCCTTTGCAGAAACAGATAGGTTTTTGTTGTGCATTGATCTACAGGGTGCCCCAGCTATCTTTAGCCAGAATTTAAAAATATGCTGACACACGCAATTATGACGCGACCAAATGCATGTTGCTGCCCGTTGCCCGGAGTTAGAGTATTTTTTGTGTTCTAAAATCTTGTTTACTTGAATAGGTTTAATTGACCCACTTTTTAAGGAACGAATATGAATAAAAAATTTCAGTAAGACAGTTGTAGATCGGTTTGCAGAACGTCTGATTATACAGTTCAGAACTTTGCATCTCTTAGTTATCGGTGTTTTTCTGCTGACTATAAATGATCGCGAAATACAAAAAAAATACCACGTGACAAACCCACTGCCGCGCGTACGTGCGCCATGATTCTGGTGCCCTCTTACGTTCCGTGTACGAACTATACGCTTCTCTCGCATCGGTTCACGACAGCGATAAACAGTCACAGTGGTTATCGCTTTTGTGGCAAAACGTGTTCATCGCAAAACGTGGGTGGCAAAACGTGGATAGCAAAACGTGTTCATCGCAAAGCGACCGCCATTGTTGCAGCCCTGTCGAGACAGCACAATCGGGCGAATTCTATGGTCGTTCCTACGCGTAACGTTAGGGAGCACTAGAATCATCATGATCATTGGCGCACTGGCGGGTTTGTCACGTGGTATTTTTGCATTTAGTGGGCATTTGCTGTTAGCAGAAAAACACTAATAATTAACAGATATAAAGTTCTAAACTCTCCAACTGGGTGTTTGGCAAACCGATCTACAACTTTCTCATTGGTTTTTTTTATCCATCTTCGATTCTTTAAAAGTTAGTTTATTAAACAGATCTATAGACAATATTTCAGAACTCAAAAAAGAGTCAGCTACAAGCAATGGTCAGCAACATGTATTTGGTCGCGTCGTAATTGCGTGTGTTGGCATATTTTTAAACTCTGGCTGCAAATAGCTGGTGAACCCTGTGTAAGAGGAGACGCGCTATAGTGATAGGTGCTACTTTAAGGGACAAGAGGCTGGCAGAGTGGTTCAGGGAACAAACGGGTGTTCAGAATATCTTAATCGAATTGAAGAATAAGAAAGTGGCATGGGCAAGACGTGAGTGCTGGTTTGCCCGCCCTTTTTGCATACCCAGGCAACGCATGGTCGCTAGACGACGAAAACGACAAGGTGCGTGTTCCCCAGTAAATGGGCAACCTACGCCTGTACTGATGCGTATACCATGCAACGCTTCAGAAAATAGAGAGATCGAGACCTTAGCTTCACTCTTGGAGGCGGAGAGGCAGTCCACTTCTCTCTGGAATGTCTCTCGACCGAATGCTGAATCCACGAAAGCGCTCCCTGTCAGCGCACCACGAGTCACGATGAATAAACATAACCAAGAGCCTAAAAGCAATCACACTCAATCTGCTGTATCTCACAGTGTTTCAGTTAACTTCTGCTAATCACTTGCTATATTTAGGTGAACAAATTGCACGTGTACGACGAACAATACAGCTCTTTTTCAGGACAACTATAGTACTGGCACCTTTCACTGCCTAGTTCAATGCTATTGGATATATTTAACGCTGCGACTTGTTATATTTAAGTGAATAAATTTCGCGTGTATTTCGAAAAAGACAGATCTTATTCAGAAGAACTAATAACACTGGCTCCCTTCACTGCCTTTAGTTCAATGTCATTGGATATTTATTGCTGCAACCCCGAAGGCAGAGGGAACAAATGAACAGTGGTGTTGCGATAGCAACCTCTACAGGTACTACATGACAGACGTACGTCCGTCATAACGCGATTCCTAACTTCACCTCATGTTTACATCACTAGCAATCAGAGTGCAATTATCACAGGGCGATGAACTTATTCCCCAGGAATGCGGGTAAATATTCCATACAGATTGTCACTCAAGAGGAGAACGCACCGCGGCACTCGTGTAAACAGTCTATATCGGATGTAATTAAATGTTGGGCAATTACATTTTCGTCATTTTTAACGCCTATATGCAGGAACTATCAACGTGTACCTTTCACTTTGCCAAACCAGCTACGAACACTATGGCAATAAGTCTCAATATCTAAAAACAAAAAAGCAATACAATCAGATGCAATATTCTATTTTTTGCAAAGAAAGTAATTAAAGCATTATATTACCTGTGAATATATTATATCAAGGTTGCCAAGTTGTAAATGAAAAATAAGCAAGGAATTGAGAGAAGCTAGTCAGAACGTAGCCGATTAAGCTAAATAACGGTAAAATTAGCCAAAATTAGCCACGCATGTGTGGAAACCTTGGTGACATTTAACTTTAAATGAAGAAATCTAAGACCCTTTTGAAAAAAAAGGAAAACAAATACACCAAGGATCATAATTGAAAATTTTGTTGAAGTGCACTAAAAACCGACGGACAGAGGAGGCTGACAAGCACAGGGATTGCTCTCATACCTGAAGATATGCTGGTTCGAAAAAAGGGTGTTTAAAGCGCATGCATGGTTCTTCGCGCGTGTGCAACAGAGCAGGGTGCAACAAAAGCACTCGTATTGGAATTACAATTTTTTTTGTCTTATTTGGCATTTGCCCCGCCGCGGTGGTCTAGTGGTTAAGGTACTCAACTACTGACCCGTAGGTCGCGGAATCGAATCTCGGCTGCGGCGGCTGCATGCATTTGGGTGCACGTTGAGCCCAAGGTGGTCGAAATTTCCGGACCCCTCCACAATGGAGCCTCTCATAATCATATGGTGGTTTCGGGACTTTGAAACTCACGTGTCGCTCAATTTATTATATTTCGCAAGCACTACGTCTCCAGATACGCGTATTCTTTATTGTGCAGCACAATCGTGGCTTGGCTAACACAGCCATATTCCCTCTTTTGAATGTGGTGTGATTCCACTATTTCACGCGTCAGCTGATCCTTATGTCGAAATACTATTTCTGCTTCTTTAAACGAAGAGTAACATGCACAGTTTCTAAAGGAATCTGGAAGATGAGTGTTGCGTAATGTTTTAACAGATGCGAGGTGTTCTCTGAAGCGGTCATTCACGCATCTTCCTGATTGTCCGATGTAGACTTCTCCACAAAACAGTTTCGTATATACCACCCCCTTTACGCATTTTACGAACGCATTTACTACCCCCCCCCTCCTTACGCATTTTAGCGCCGCAGTGGGGGCACTAGGATGATATGCTCAGGGGAGTTAAGTGCAATAAGGGATTTCCTCAGGGAGAGGGAGGGGGGGGGGGCTTCGAGGTGTTTAACTCGTGCATTTTGTTTTACAAGTACGCTTGGTGTGAAAGGGGGCCATGCGACAATTATGGGCGAGGGGACTGCTATACACCACCTCAATAACACCCTCTGGCAGCGGCATGTCTTGCGAGTGGTGTTGGTGACGTAATAAGCATAGGTCTTGTTAGGCGCAGCCCTCAACCACCCGTCCTTGAGTTTCGCATCGTTGCTATGGGGAGTATGATTAAGAACAGCAAAGGCAGATTATATGTACACTCCATAGTGCACTCAAGCTCAGGAGTTATTACTGAATTGACATCGGGTAAAATAACGTGCTTTCTATCCTTCCTACTCATGTGAATGTTGCTACCTCGCACATTCACATAATCAAACCTTCCCGGCACAGTTGGTGTAGCAGTGCGCACCTGTGCAGTTCGGGTCGAGGCTTAGCGGCGTCAATGATCGAATGTTTTTGTGGTGTAATTTTAGATTAGAGGTTATTGCAACCTTCGACAATATTCAATCTGAACGTGTACATGATGTTTTTGATAATAAAAGTGACCCCATCAAGTTATTTTGAAGTCCACTAATGAGACTAGGCATCAAGAAAGGAATATGCAAAGAGCCACGACTGATAAAGAAACAGTAAATACTTGGCGAGACAGTGTCAGCTGACTTCGACAGATAAATAATTCAGACAAGTCATTTATATATCGCAGGTGTGATACAAGTCATGTGGCTCGGCAGCATCATTTCCCATATAAAGGTCTAGCTTGTTGACCGAGATTTCAAAGGAGCCTTCAACCAGAATAATCATGCAAGCTGTCACTTTGTTGATTTCTGCCGGCCTCTACGTACTGCCACTCGGCATTCTGTTCACTGTGGGAGACGCGAAACACGAGTTAAAACATGACGTCGCAGACGCTTTCGAGGTACGTGCAGTTCAGATTGAGCGATATTTATGAGGAAGGCCTTGGCACGATTGCGCTCAGAAGACATTCTGATGTCAAATGCATTTGCATCTCATTCGCCTGGCCCACCTTGGTGGATTAACAATTATGTCGAATAGCTGCAAAGCCCGAGAGCATAATTCCTGCTCGGGAACATATATTTCATAAGTTGTGATAACCTAAAGAAAGCACCCTCGTACTATCATTTGGGCACATTATAGAGAAGCCAATAAGGCAAAATATATCCGAACTGTCGCACCACTTATCTCTTTATAGTCATGTTTGGTTTGGCACCTAAAATACAACCGATGTGTGCGGTCATCGCACTTCACTTTCCTGATTGTAACTTATCATTCTTGTAAAAGCGACTTTAAGTGCCCCCGGTATGCCGAAATATGTCGTACAAATTAATAGTACCTCATTTTAGTAGGTTGCATTTAGAATCAACCGCCATGAAGTGGTGCCATGGCTAAGGTTTTGTAATTCCTAAAGAAACGCAGTGAATAACCTGATCGCCACTGCAAAGCATAATCCGAAGGCATTGTACACAAAATGTTAGTAGTCGGTCCAGAGATTGCCTAATAGAGGAACCCTGCTCGTGAAAATGTATGTGTTGCAGCATGCCTCGTTAATTGCATTGTTTGCGCCAAGCAGTACTAAACATGGCCATTTCGAGTATTCGAAAAAAAAAAGAGAGGACCCCATAGCACTGCGGATATTATGCGTGCCGAGACTTTAAAACTCACGTGTCTTGACACGTGAGTTTTGGCAGCGGTCTTGACGACAGCGACGTCCATTGATGTCCACTTTGCCGATAGTAGTGGCGACGCCTAGGCTATGGTATGTCGCCATGGCAGCGTCACCGCAAGACGAGCCAATCTGAGCCGCTAGGCGCTCCGTCTCGCACACATTCATCGTATGAAGCCCACCCGTGGTAATTATGAATGAATATGTCGTAGTGGTATCGGTTGTGTATGTCGAAATGATCGATAATAGTGCGAAGATCGAGAACATGTTGATGTTTCGATACGCTGTGAATTTTGGCTCAGTGTTGAGCCACGCGTGATCATCGGCAAGCACGGCAAAACACTGAAGTGACTATAAGGCATGCAAACGTTCCGCACTGGAGCAAATAACTAATCCCGCTCCGTACCGGAACGCTTGAACACATAAAGGCAGCCGAGCCACCCTCTTTAGTGGTCACCACATGATTTATATTTTGATTTGCATGTATCAATAAAACCCCAGCTATGCAAGTGGCTTGCTGTACATGAGCTATATCACTGGGAGTGATTCAAAAAGCTTTAAGGTGTTGTCTAGGAGCCCCTAATGTGTTTGCTAATTATACCCAGGCAATCGTGACAGTACAAGATACAGAAAAGAATTGAACGCGAGCGAGAACAAGTTCTTGAAACATGTGGAACGTATTCTTGTCGTGGATAAGTGACTCTCATACTGTGCGTTTATGTTTATCAGAAGCACAGCTCCTTAGGCTCTCCGTCGCCGTCAAAGCTCCTTGCACCGGGCAAGTGCGCCGAGAAAAACAACATGCGTGTGATTCTGGCGGAATAGAAGCATAGCCGCGGCGGCACATGGCTCTCGCCGCACACTCATTCGCGCAGTCGTTCCAGCCACTGCGTGCAGCAGATGCTTTCTCCACCCGCTCCACACTCCCCCGCCTTCAAAAAAGCCAGGAGCGAGATCAGGCGCATTCTAGTTCGCGTCCCGTTTGTAAGAAACTTCGCTCATAAGTTGTATTTGTGCACTCAACGACTGCTATTTTTTTTTGCAAAAACAAAATGCTTCATTTTGCCTTTTGAGCGATTTATGGTAAGTGTAAACCATAAAATGGCAAGCAAGTGCCCCCCCCCCCCCTCATTACTACGATGAAGAGTAAGTTGACTAGATTTGGGGAAGGGTGTTTGCTTGGTCTTGGACCAATTAATGACGCTATTTTGGCGACTATTTCAGATCTACCGAAAAGAGGAGGGTGTGCTTCCTAGGCATTTTGCGGTTGTTAAATTTGCTAAAAGAAATTACCATAGTGTTGCCTTTAGGAACCATTTGTTATGCCAAATCTGTATAGAAGAACCTTCCTAATAAGAGGCTCTGTTCATTCTTTAGATGTATCGCAGTGGTAGAACAAGTACTAATAAACAAACTTAGAAATGTTTCGTATGCATTTATCTCTTGTAATGACCTAATTCTGACGCCCGATGCCACACACCAGGTATATGAGAATTTCCCCTCTGTTGTGGCCATTTTTGACCAAGACCTAGACGGGGACTTGGATTGCGTGCAATCTGTTCGGACATACTTAGACCCAGAAGCCCACGAAGCGACGTATGTCTGGATCCTCAAAGGCCTCAACGGGATGAAACCGTGAGACAGTGTTCTATTTTTACAGATGCATTTACGTTATATCAGCATACATCTTCTTTAAATCTAGCACTTCGGGCAATTTTTTTTGATTTCGCTCATTTATGGCCCCATACTGGTGGTTTACGTATGCCAAAAATGTCGCAAATTTATTTTTACCAGACTGACTGGTGCAGATATTTGGCCCACCTCACAACGGACTATTTTTACACCCATGTGTCATAAAAATAAATTTATAGTGATACTGCAGAGAATCAAATACAATTGACTGTTTGTGTTTGTAAGATCTGCAAGCAGATCTGCGTACAATCAAAATATGCATGAGAAGTCTCACTGTAAACGTGTTCGGATAAATGCAGGCATACTGGTAAAATATCAAATGATGTGTCACACCGGCTCCGATTTTGTTGTATGAAGAAGAAGCGAAAAGCCTACACAGTTGTAGCTGACGTTTTCAGAACGTTTGGTTGGCCGAGCGATGACTCTGTTGCTCCTGAGAGTGCGCTAACAAGCGTTTTCTTCTTTGTCGTTACACTAAGACACTTCGTTTTAAGGCAGACGTCTACGTAATCCGGCTTCCTCCCCCTTTTTTTTGCTAGCGTTTACCTCCTGTAGACCCTAAAAAATCTTCGGCACAGCGTCCGAAAAAGTTCAAAACATTCCGAATCTTCCGAACATTCGGAAGACCACGCTGCGACGTCACACCTGCGACTAGCCTCTGGTACAGATGAACAATTTCACTGTCATTGTAGTGATTTTCGCCGGCACGCACTTGCGGAGCGTCAAAAGTGAAACAACCCTTTACTTGCCGAGGTATGTCGCTCGCACTACAACGAGAAGCGCGTCCCCCAAGTGCCCTTTTTTGAAAACAGCAATTCAAGAATTATAGGCAGTAAATGTATTTTAAAGAGCAACTTGAATTATAAAGAAAAGAAGCGACAAGGTTCAGAAGGGAGTAGCTAATCGTGTGAGATTTGCAAATACCATTGGGACGTCATATGTAACCAAAAGCACAGCATTGAAAGATATATATATATATATATATATATATATATATATATATATATATATATATATATATATGTGTGTGTGTGTGTGTGGCTTGAAGAAAGGCAGGGAGGTTAACCAAAAAGCAAGTGTCTGGTTTGCTACCCTGCACTGGGGAAGCGGAAATGTGAGACAGAAAAGTAAGGAAAAGGGAATAAAGAGAAAGAGAGCGGGACGGAAGCAAAAACACTCAAACACACTAAAACGTCACAAACGTTCCACGAGGCGGGTTGATCGTAGAAATTTTAGGGGGGGGGGGGGGGGCTTCATCGCTTTTTGGCGTGAAGCTCGATCTTTCCGGCATTCCAAAATTAATTTTTCGGAAAGCAGCTGGTCGTCGAGGCGTGCAAACGCTGCTGACAGGAAATGTCTCTGACAGCTGTACTGAGGGCACTGACACAAAATATATTCGATAGTTTCGTCAGCGCCGCAATGATCACACGCAGCACTGTCTGCCCATCTGATGCGGCAAGCAAATGCGTTCGTAAAAGACACCCCAAGCCACATGCGACAGAGAACGCTTGTCTCAGATCAGGGTAACCCAGATGGAATGGAAAGTCCTAGGCGTGGGTCCAGACGGTGAAGACGGGTGTGTGGAAATCCGGGCGTTTCGCAGAGACCTGGTGACATTGTGCATGAGCGTATTAATCCTTTCTACTGCGTCGCTTCTTGACAGTGGAATGGGATCCATCATGCCATTTCCGGGAGCGTTCTTTGCTGCAGCGTTGGCATGCTCGCTATGGATGATTCCGCAGTGGCCTTGTAACCACTGAAAAGTCTGAAAGCATTGAGAGGCACACACAGAAAGTATACCGCTCCCGATTAAATATATACAAGAGTACATATGTACGTACATGCTCAGGAACAGCGAAGACAGGTGTACGTGATTTTAACGCCAGACCGTTAACAAAGAGCTGACATCAGCAACGTTCACCAGACGAATGCAAAAAATAAATACCAGGGTCCTAGCAGGAATCGAGCTCCAGCATTCTGCCCGACAGTCAAACAATTTAACACAGAGCTACACCAGGCCTCGGAACTGTCTTTCTCTTGGACGTTAATGTTCACGAAACATCAGTTGTGATTGCGGTGCTGGATATCTAGCTTTATAAACATTAAATATATACTCCTATCTTACAGGCCTCACGTCGGGTTAACGTCGACTGTGGTTAGGTGCCATCCGCTGAAGTTGATTTATGTAGCAGTGTCCAGGGCTAGTATCCTTGCTAGCAAAAGCGCTCCATGTCAGTTTACCGCTTCGGTTGTTGCTGATACCCATGGTGCTGCTGGGCTCATTACGCAGCTGTAAATAAGTGGTTAAATTAAACGTATCTGACTGGTAAACGTATATCTATGCGTACAAAATTTGTACGTATATTTAGCGTCACTTCGTAATTAACGTTTTGCTCAATAAAACATTGCAACGCAGTGCCGTTCCATCCGCGTGCATCGCATAACGTCGATTCGCAAGGTACGCTGGATCTGTCTTTTTTTTTTTGCTCTGTAGCCGTGCAAGTTCTGGACTTTTTTGCACTAGACAAATGCGCTGGAAGATCATCCAAAATTCTCGGCACAGCGTCTGGAAAGGTTCGAAACATAGCGCTGCGCCGTCACACCTCCTACTAGCCACTGGTGCATCAAGCAATGTCACTCTCATTGAAGCAATTTTCGTAGGCATACAAAAGCGGGGCGTGAAACGTGAAACCACCCCTATTGCCGAGGTATGTCGCGTCCACCTTTCCCGCCGTTCATCTTTTCTAGGCAGCGAGAACGTCGCCACGTTTTCGCCATTTCCCTTGTATCCTGACTGACACTCAGGTACGCCGCCGCGGCTAGATAGGCCGCATCCTTTCTCACCTTCTGGCACAACACACTAGGTACAATGCTTGGTCGCACCTGAAAACTGCGCGGTGACTCACCGCAATATTTTGCACTGACACCTGCACCCACCTAAGCTGTCGCGTGCCCGCTGTCAATAGGTGGATGTATGGATGGATAGATGGATGCTATGAGGGACCTCCTTATAAAGGGTTGGTGACGTGTGTGCCAAAAGGCTCGACATAAAAAAAATATTTTGTTTTATGTTGACCTTTTCTCTTATCTACTTCGATTAAATCAGTCTTATTAAACTGAAGAAAAAATTATTAGACGGTTCTTCTCACTGCCAATTCTGGCAGAATGACCGAACTTTCCCCAAAATTTCTGGCTTTTTTCTTTACTTTCCTACCACCAATATTCTAACCTCCTTTTACCTGCTTCTATCGCGGGCGTGTTCAGCTTTCTACGGTTCTCCCTAAAACCCAAGACTTCATGTAGGCTCGTACCCACACGTATACCTGGGTGGACATCGCCCCATTCAATCAGAACATGTTTCACCGTTTTCTTAACTCCCCCACATTGTGTACATTGTAATTCTTCATTATTGAATGTTGCTTTATGATTACACGTTCTAAGCAACCCGACCTTGCTTCGAACAGTGAAGCGCTTCCCCTTTAATTATCATAAAACCTCTCCCTCCCTATTTTGTTCTTGCCCTTTCGGTTGTTACTGAGAGCCAGATTCTTTTCTATTACTGTCACTTAATAAACCCTCACTGCCTCTCTATACTGAACTGGAAGCAGCGCCACCCCGCGGTCACCGTTTACAGCGTACGAGGCACCTCCGTAAAGTTACGGCAAAGCTTCACTACAATAAAGGTACCGAGGGAATCTGGCAATGCCGAAAAAAAAAAAAAAACCACACGATGGTATTAAGAACCTTGCTAAGGTTCAGTGTCGAGGAAACTACGAATGGAAAACGAAGAAACATAGCCAGTGAAAATTCCGATAAAATACCTTTTCCATTGTAAACAGGAAGAAGGCTTTCTATAAGGCAAACATGTAGGACATCATAGTTTATCACAACTCATTTTAATCTTTTCACAAATATTTTGCCTGTGATGCAAGATAAAGATAATCGTATTTCAATAGTGCTATTGACGCTGAGCATGCCGGGCTGGCAGTGAAGTGGCTGCTGTGTGATTTGTCAGCGGAACTTCCGGTGACGTGGAAGAGATGAAATTTTTGCAAGTGCGCACCAGAACGAAATCGGACCAGGAAAATCAATCTGAATTGCTTTAGTCGTCCCGTTATTTCATGCGTCTGATGTTCCGTACTTATCAGCTTTGTTTTCAAACTTTTAAATGAATCGCAACACTATTTCCCATTTTGAGGTGTCTTTAGGAAGCGCTAGATATATGATTGGTCTTACGTGTCCGCTGACATTGCGGTTTTCTAGCGAACAGTGGGGGAAAAAAACATAAACTGTCAACATCACAAACAATATAAAGTGATCAAGCTAAATGAGAAATGGCTTGCCACTGATTGATTGATATGTGGGGTTTAACGTCCAAAAACCACTATATGATTATGAGAGACGCCGTAGTGGAGGGCTCCGGAAATTTAGACCACCTGGGGTTCTTTAACGTGCACCCAAATCTGAGCACACGGGCCTACAACATTTCCGCCTCCATCGGAAATGCAGCCGCCGCAGCCGGGATTCGAACCCGCGCCCTGCGGGTCAGCAGCCGAGTAAATGGCTTGCCACTGCACACCTCAATATATTGCTGGGTCGTTCATCACTTGTTGATCACTTGTTCTCCTTACGAGCTTTTGTTTTACCGTAATGAAGCAGCCGCACATTGAACGCACCTGGCATGAAAGTTTTTTATATGTCTCTTGAGGTTCGAGTATGAATATCTAGAAAAAAGTCCAACTTCTGAAACTTTAAAAAAGTGTGTGCTCAAGAGGGTTATTCCCCACAACTTTATAGGCAATAATAAAGAGACCGTGGGTTGAAAGCTAAAAAGTTATTCAAAGACACTTTATTGAATGAGCCTTTTTTTGTTACCTTATTTGCAGCCAGCAAATTGACCTCGATGCAGGGTCCATATGTAAAGACGACAGATGTCCTATCATATTAGCGTTCGCAAAAAATAAGTCGCCGTTCCTTAAAAAAACAAGAAAAGAGCACCCTTATATAGAGCATTGCCAGTTCGTCCAGCAAATGCACATATATTACACCTTTATTATTTCAGAGAGAACCTCACGTTTCACTTGAAGCCAGGCGCCACAGCCGACACGTCTGTATTTACGATGGACAATGGTAAGTATTATGGCACTTAATATTTTTGGTGACCTAGGCGGAGCAGTGGCTATGCGCTGCCTACCCGAATATGCTAGTAGGATATGCACCCCTTTGATGACATTTAGAAAAAGTTGAAAGGCAAGAAGCACACCTACGATGTCATTGCACGTTCAAAAATCGCAGTTGTTCAAATTTATATGAAGCTCTCCCTGACGGCGTGCCCCTTATTGATATTTAGATTCTGGTGCATACAACCACAGAATGTTTTCATATTTTATCAAATATTCGGTGTTTTCAACGCGTACTAGCCATATTTGGCATGAGTGACCATTCGGCGCGGCTGCTACAGACCTCAACGTATTGTGAACTCCACGAGGCAAGTCACAGGGCGCCAATTTTAATGCGACAGCGTAAACTAGCGTGTTTCACAGAAATTTTGGGGCTGGTGTTGGTGATGTCTCTAGTGTGAGCGCAGCATCGGCATTGTCCGTCACCGAAAATTTTAATTAAACGTGACTGAAAAAGGAATAACAAAGCTTCGGCTGGAGTGGGACTGGGCATTCGAACTTGCGATGTTTTGCTGCGTGGCGCGATTCGTATAGTCCTTCAGCCACCAAGCATACACCCTTGAGCTTACTAACGGCGATCTTTTTATACATACTATTTAGTTTTGTAAACACACACATTATTCAAGTCCAGTTGCGACATAAAATCCATGGCATGGTACAAAAACTCAAGGCTACACTTTTAAACGGCATCGCTTCGCCCTGTGGCCATGTTCACGCAAGTTTGTCAGCCCAAGGAGAATTTTCCTTTAATCCTCCTATTGTCAGCCCCATTGATAGATTTGAACCCCCAGGCACGGGCTGGGGGAGAATTCTTTCAAGGGGGGGGGGGGGGGCACACCATCTTGACACACCTTTCCTCCATGAATACGCCCCTGCCCTGAGAGCGTTCTTAATTTTGTTGTTTTTTTTGGCAGACTAGGTATATAAAGTCTGTTTTAACACACGAATGTTAGTGTAAGGCAGTGTTTACTGAAGCATCTGCGTTCAGCAGACATTGAAAGTAAAACCTGCAGAAGGTTCAAAAAGGAGTACACCCCCAAACAGTTCATGGTGACAGCTGGTTTACACAAGCGCAATAGCCTCTTCACACCAATGTGGCGCAGAAGTTTACATCATTAGGCCTCATGCAGCATTAAAGAAACCAATTTTATGGGTAGAAAAAGTTATAAATATCCTGCTCGGTCAGTAAAAGCAGCTTTCCTCTGTTTCACGGTATCAAACACTGAAAAACCACACCAAAGAAGCTGTCTGGTAAATATTACCATTAGAAGATGAAAGTTTTAATTCTCATTGCAGAGGCATACTACATGAGTGCTGCAGAACGCTGTGTGATTTTTTTTTATTATGAGCAGCGAAATTGTTTTTACGGTCCGATGTACCGAAATTGCAACTTCTCCCTCAAAATTCGCTACTCCCGAGATTGCACTTCTCGTTTTTGTTCGCATTGTTAGTGCGAGTCTCTCTGTAATGTCGCAGCTTTTTTGTTCCTCGAGTCTATGACAAATTCGTTGTCTGCATTACCCGTTTTTTTTTATTTTCTTAAAAATGACAGAAAAACTACGTTCAAGGTTACTCAGTGTTTTACAAAATTGCACCATCTAACATAATCTAAATGAACAACTTTTCCCGCAAACTTCATCTTCTGTGTTATCACTAAAACAAAAACAATGGGGATAAAGAAAGCGAACTGCTACAGTACCAGCGAAAGTAGATGAAATTAAAGTGCCCCGTTTAGACATGATGTTGTTACTTGCAAATAAAACTAGGGTGCGCAAATTAACACGACTGGTGCATAGAGATATTGAGCAGGCACAGGTGCTGTACAACTTTCTAAAGTACTTGAATCCATTGCATAACGTCCTTCGTCGACGCCACCTTCCCGCTCGCTGACCGTCCCGTCTCCGGCTGTATATGAAACAGGTCAGAACGTTTATATGACGCCGCCGCCTGCACGACCATTTACGGTACCTTATTCAGCGAACAGTGCCCCTATCGTCAGCCAATGGCGCACTCCAGATAATCGGCCGATATGTTTTTCATGTGGCATCCCAGGCCACGTAGCTCGTCACTGTCGTCGTCGCAGCTTCCCTTCTCACGACAATGCAGGGACCTCACATTACATGCCCACCATGCCCACTCAGCCGCGATATCCCGTTCCTACCAATCCACCTCTAGACGTACGTCCCGGTCGCCGACCATCCGGCGCAAGCCGTTCACCTTCTCCTCGTCGTCGATCTATTTCTCCGATGTTACGTCGCAACAGCCCACCGCGAGGGGAAAACTGACGGGCGCAGTTCCGGAGGCAAGAACTGCGTTGGCAGCGAAAATTTCAAGACCTAACTGCTGTCCCCCGAACGAAATCGAACTCTATATTGATGGCATTAAGGTGCACGGACTTGTTGACACTGGAGCTGCCGTATCTGTAATTAGCGAGAAACTGTGCCGAAACTTAAAGAAAGTGACCACACAACTTACCGACCTATCTTTGCAGACAGCTACGTCCCATCATATTCAGCCTTCAGCTTTGTGCACCGCACGAGTCGTCATTCAAGGTGCGATGTACGTCGTCACATTTGTAGTTTTATTCCGTTCTTCGCATGACGTTATCCTTCGGTGGGACTTTCTTTCGTCAAATTCTGCTTTGGTCGACTGTGCTCGTTCTGAACTCGCGTTGTCTGTGCCGTGCTATGACCCCGACGATGGTGCTTCGTGTAGAGTGTTTGCTGCTTCTGACGTGACATTGCGCCTTTCTCAGCTGCTGTTGTCTCGGTGTCGTGTGCCTCCCCTCCGAAATCACCTGTGTTGTTTATGCCATCGGTCCCATCTGCGTGCCGTCGAAATATCATGCTTCCGTTTGCCGTCGTCATTTTTCGCAATGGTCACGCTGCCCATTTATGTTTGCAATCCGTCGCACAGCCCGTCATCCCTACTACGTGGAGAATGCCTGGGAAGCTACGAACTTTACGAGTGCATTCTTCCGGCTACTATACCCGATTCTGCGGTTTCGCTCCCAATTTGTGCTGTCACTCCTACCAACGCGCCTAATGATGCTCTGGACGTATTCTCGGATGCCATCGACTCTGAGCTCGCACCAACTCAGCGCGAAGAGATTATAAATCTTCTTCTCCGCTTTCGTTCTTCATTCGATCGTGACCAGTCAGGCTTAAGCCGAACCTCTGCGGTCGTTCACCGTATTGACACCGGTCAACAAGCCCCGCTAAGGCAGCGTCCGTACCGTGTGTCATCTGCTGAACGCCGTGTCATCGACGAACAAGTAGACGACATGTTGAAACGTGGCATCATCGAGCCCTCCAACAGTCCCTGGGCTTCACCGGTTGTTCTCGTCAGGAAAAAAGACGGATCCATCCGCTTCTGCGTTGACTACCGCCGACTCAACAAGATAACGCGCAAAGACGTATACCCTCTGCCGCGCATCGATGATGCTTTGGACTGCCTACAAGGAGCAGAGTTCTTTTCTTCATTAGATTTACGCTCTGGCTACTGGCAGGTGCCCATGGCAGAGGGTGACCGCCCGAAGACAGCCTTTGTAACACCGGATGGACTATATGAATTCACCGTTATGCCCTTTGGCCTCTGCAATGCGCCTGCCACTTTCGAAAGGATGATGGATACCGTCTTGCGAGGTCTGAAATGGAAAACGTGCCTCTGTTATTTGGATGACATTGTGGTATTTTCAAGCGACTTTGCGACCCACCTCAGCCGCCTCGAGCAAGTTCTTACGTGCCTTTCCGCGGCGCGACTTCAACTTAACTTGAAGAAATGCCACTTCGGCGCTCGCAAGCTTGTAATTCTTGGCCATGTGGTTTCTAAGGACGGCATTCTCCCGGACCCTACGAAACTTAATGCAGTCGCGGCGTTCCCAAAGCCAACCACCATCAAAGAGCTTCGAAGCTTCATCGGCCATATGTCTTACTTCCGGCGCTATGTCCGCAATTTCGCCTCCATTATCGCCCCCTTGACCAATCTTCTTGCCGGAAGTTCTGATTGTCAGCGTGGTCGCAGGCGGTGTGATGATGCATTTCAGGAACTCCGACGGCTCCTCACCACGCCTCCCATACTCCGACATTTCGATCCGTCTGCTCCAACGGAGCTTCATACGGACGCTAGTGGTGTCGGGCTAGGGGCCATACTGGCCCAACGCAAGGAGGGCTTTGACGAGTACGTCGTTGCCTATGCCAGCCGCACCCTCAGTAAAGCCGAGAAGAATTACAGTGTAACTGAAAAGGAGTGCCTCGCCATTATTTGGGCAATCGGAAAATTTCGGCCTTATTTATATGGACGTCCGTTTGATATTGTAACAGACCACCATGCGCTTTGCTGGTTATCTTCACTAAAAGATCCTAATGGTCGGCTCGCTCGTTGGGCATTGCGGTTACAGGAGTTCGATATCCGTGTTATCTACCGTTCTGGCCGGAAGCATTCCGACGCCGATGCCCTGTCACGTTCGCCATTGGCTTCAGAGCCTGTCAGCTCGCCTATCTCCACTAGTGCTGCCTTGGCCATCAGCATCTCGGACATGCCTTCCGAGCAACGCAAAGATGCTTGGATTTCATCTCTTTTGGACTTTCTCTCAAACCGGACGCCCGCTCCAGTTTCCAGGACGCTTCGCCGTCAAACAGGACACTTCGCTATTCGGGATAACCTGCTTTACCGCCGAAACTACAGCTCGATCGGCCGTAAGTGGTTGCTCGTGATCCCCCGACATCTGCGCTCTGACATCTGTGCCACGTTCCACGATGATCCGCAATGTGGCCACGCTGGTGTGTTAAAAACATACACCCGCTTGCAGCTGCGGTACTACTGGCGCGGTATGTACCGTTTCGTTCGCCGTTACGTAAGGTCTTGCCTTACGTGCCAGCGACGCAAAATGCCCACTCAACATGCCACAGGTCCCTTGCAGCCGTTGCCATGTCCAGCACGAGCTTTCGATCGTGCCGGAATCGACCTTTACGGTCCGCTTCCCTATACTTCGAGTAGCAACCGCTGGGTCATTGTCGCTATCGACCACCTAACGCGGTACGCTGAAACAGCTGCGTTACCTTCTGCTACCGCAAAAGACGTTGCGTGTTTTATACTGCAAAACCTGGTTTTAAGGCATGGAGCACCTCGGGAGTTACTAAGCGACCGTGGCCGCGTTTTTCTCTCCGATGCCATCAAAGCGTTGTTGAGCGAGTGTCGCATCATACACCGCACTACCACAGCCTATCACCCGCAAACTAATGGGATGACAGAGCGTTTTAATCGTACACTTGGGGATATGCTGGCCAAGTACGCTTCATCCGACCAGTCAAATTGGGATAGCATACTCCCTTTTGTGACATATGCTTACAACCACTGCAACGCAAAGCACCACTGGATTTTCGCCTTTCTTCCTTCTTTATGGACGCGAGCCATCATCAACAATGGATACCATTCTTCCTTATCGACCGGACCCTACAGAGATTACTACCGTTTCTCGAGCAGCAGCACACGCTGAAGAATGTCGGAAGCTTGCTCGTGCGTTCACGTCACATGACCAGACGCGCCAAAAACATCGCCACGACGCGTCAACCACGCATATGAGCTTTGCTCCGAACTCACTGGTGTGGCTATGGATTCCTTCTACTACTCCAGGACTCTCCCACAAGCTTTCGTCCAGGTACCATGGCCCTTATCGAGTTGTGTGCCAAACATCCCCTGTCAACTACCTTGTCGAGCCACTGGATGCATCTCCGGACAAGCGCCGTCGGGGAAAAGAAATCGTACACATCTCTCGGCTCAAGCCATACCATGACCCTTCTGTCTACACCTGTCCTTAGGTCGCCAGGATGGCTCCCTCATCGGCCGGTCATAGTTTATCACAACTCATTTTAATCTTTTCACAAATATTTTGCCTGTGATGCAAGATAAAGATAATCGTATTTCAATAGTGCTATTGACGCTGAGCATGCCGGGCTGGCAGTGAAGTGGCTGCTGTGTGATTTGTCAGCGGAACTTCCGGTGACGTGGAAGAGATGAAATTTTTGCAAGTGCGCACCAGAACGAAATCGGACCAGGAAAATCAATCTGAATTGCTTTAGTCGTCCCGTTATTTCATGCGTCTGATGTTCCGTACTTATCAGCTTTGTTTTCAAACTTTTAAATGAATCGCAACACTATTTCCCATTTTGAGGTGTCTTTAGGAAGCGCTAGATATATGATTGGTCTTACGTGTCCGCTGACATTGCGGTTTTCTAGCGAACAGTGGGGGAAAAAAACATAAACTGTCAACATCACAAACAATATAAAGTGATCAAGCTAAATGAGAAATGGCTTGCCACTGATTGATTGATATGTGGGGTTTAACGTCCAAAAACCACTATATGATTATGAGAGACGCCGTAGTGGAGGGCTCCGGAAATTTAGACCACCTGGGGTTCTTTAACGTGCACCCAAATCTGAGCACACGGGCCTACAACATTTCCGCCTCCATCGGAAATGCAGCCGCCGCAGCCGGGATTCGAACCCGCGCCCTGCGGGTCAGCAGCCGAGTAAATGGCTTGCCACTGCACACCTCAATATATTGCTGGGTCGTTCATCACTTGTTGATCACTTGTTCTCCTTACGAGCTTTTGTTTTACCGTAATGAAGCAGCCGCACATTGAACGCACCTGGCATGAAAGTTTTTTATATGTCTCTTGAGGTTCGAGTATGAATATCTAGAAAAAAGTCCAACTTCTGAAACTTTAAAAAAGTGTGTGCTCAAGAGGGTTATTCCCCACAACTTTATAGGCAATAATAAAGAGACCGTGGGTTGAAAGCTAAAAAGTTATTCAAAGACACTTTATTGAATGAGCCTTTTTTTGTTACCTTATTTGCAGCCAGCAAATTGACCTCGATGCAGGGTCCATATGTAAAGACGACAGATGTCCTATCATATTAGCGTTCGCAAAAAATAAGTCGCCGTTCCTTAAAAAAACAAGAAAAGAGCACCCTTATATAGAGCATTGCCAGTTCGTCCAGCAAATGCACATATATTACACCTTTATTATTTCAGAGAGAACCTCACGTTTCACTTGAAGCCAGGCGCCACAGCCGACACGTCTGTATTTACGATGGACAATGGTAAGTATTATGGCACTTAATATTTTTGGTGACCTAGGCGGAGCAGTGGCTATGCGCTGCCTACCCGAATATGCTAGTAGGATATGCACCCCTTTGATGACATTTAGAAAAAGTTGAAAGGCAAGAAGCACACCTACGATGTCATTGCACGTTCAAAAATCGCAGTTGTTCAAATTTATATGAAGCTCTCCCTGACGGCGTGCCCCTTATTGATATTTAGATTCTGGTGCATACAACCACAGAATGTTTTCATATTTTATCAAATATTCGGTGTTTTCAACGCGTACTAGCCATATTTGGCATGAGTGACCATTCGGCGCGGCTGCTACAGACCTCAACGTATTGTGAACTCCACGAGGCAAGTCACAGGGCGCCAATTTTAATGCGACAGCGTAAACTAGCGTGTTTCACAGAAATTTTGGGGCTGGTGTTGGTGATGTCTCTAGTGTGAGCGCAGCATCGGCATTGTCCGTCACCGAAAATTTTAATTAAACGTGACTGAAAAAGGAATAACAAAGCTTCGGCTGGAGTGGGACTGGGCATTCGAACTTGCGATGTTTTGCTGCGTGGCGCGATTCGTATAGTCCTTCAGCCACCAAGCATACACCCTTGAGCTTACTAACGGCGATCTTTTTATACATACTATTTAGTTTTGTAAACACACACATTATTCAAGTCCAGTTGCGACATAAAATCCATGGCATGGTACAAAAACTCAAGGCTACACTTTTAAACGGCATCGCTTCGCCCTGTGGCCATGTTCACGCAAGTTTGTCAGCCCAAGGAGAATTTTCCTTTAATCCTCCTATTGTCAGCCCCATTGATAGATTTGAACCCCCAGGCACGGGCTGGGGGAGAATTCTTTCAAGGGGGGGGGGGGGGGCACACCATCTTGACACACCTCTCCTCCATGAATACGCCCCTGCCCAGAGAGCGTTCTTAATTTTGTTGTTTTTTTGGCAGACTAAGTATATAAAGTCCGTTTTAACACACGAATGTTAGTGTAAGGCAGTGTTTACAGAAGCATCTGCGTTCAGCAGACATTGAAAGTAAAACCTGCAGAAGGTTCAAAAAGGAGTACACCCCTAAATAGTTCATGGTGACAGCTGGTTTACACAAGCGCAATAGCCTCTTCACACCAATGTGGCGCAGAAGTTTACATCATTAGGCCTCATGCAGCATTAAAGAAACCAATTTTATGGGTAGAAAAAGTTATAAATATCCTGCTCGGTCAGTAAAAGCAGCTTTCCTCTGTTTCACGGTATCAAACACTGAAAAACCACACCAAAGAAGCTGTCTGGTAAATATTACCATTAGAAGATGAAAGTTTTAATTCTCATTGCAGAGGCATACTACATGAGTGCTGCAGAACGCTGTGTGATTTTTTTTTTATTATGAGCAGCGAAATTGTTTTTACGGTCCGATGTACCGAAATTGCAACTTCTCCCTCAAAATTCGCTACTCCCGAGATTGCACTTCTCGTTTTTGTTCGCATTGTTAGTGCGAGTCTCTCTGTAATGTCGCAGCTTTTTTTGTTCCTCGAGTCTATGACAAATTCGTTGTCTGCATTACCCGTTTTTTTTTATTTTCTTAAAAATGACAGAAAAACTACGTTCAAGGTTACTCAGTGTTTTACAAAAATTGCACCATCTAACATAATCTAAATGAACAACTTTTCCCGCAAACTTCATCTTCTGTGTTATCACTAAAACAAAAACAATGGGGATAAAGAAAGCGAACTGCTACAGTACCAGCGAAAGTAGATGAAATTAAAGTGCCCCGTTTAGACATGATGTTGTTACTTGCAAATAAAACTAGGGTGCGCAAATTAACACGACTGGTGCATAGAGATATTGAGCAGGCACAGGTGCTGTACAACTTTCTAAAGTACTTGAATCCATTGCATAACGTCCTTCAGTATGAACGCATTCATTTCATTTGGCTGCGTGATGTTCCAGAACTATGCACAACTTGCCTACGCGTCTTTGTAAAATAACTAATCAGAGTACCAGGTGACGGAACTTATCTCATTACCTCGTCAAAAGCACGTGTGCAACGCAGTTAGGTTTGTTTTTTGTTACGCTGTGAGTTGGCTTTTTCACATAGCAGTTGCATCATCATACGACGAAATTTTTATAATTTGGTGACACACATGAAAAACTCTTAAGAATTTTCTCCATCTGTGCTAAGACTCTAGCCAAATATTTGTGGCCCGAATGGTAAGTGTTGTTTCCGTCAAGGCCAAAGACAACCGTTTACGAATACCAGAAACGTTATTTTTATATTTAGTATTTTTTGAAGACAAGCACACGTACAACAGCACAGAATAACTGTAAATCCCGAACGAAGTCTTCGAATTTTACAAACGCATCACCAAGTATAGTCATTGAAATAGAACTTTAGTATTTTCTGTATATCCGAAATGAAGGAGACCTCAGTCGTGCTAGAAGACATTGCAGTTATAATATGCTGAATTTTATAACATGCCTCGTGTTAATTAGACAACTTGTCAGAAATCCATACCCTGGAGTGTTTGGTAAAGAGTAAGCCAATGTTACATGTGTTCTTCTTTTGCAGATAATACTGAGCAAACTCTGGACTTCTTGTACACAGATTACAAAGACTGCTTGGTAGTGAAGATTCCATACAAAGGAGAAGAACGTAAGACATGTCATGCTATCATTAAAAACAATCATAAATTAGCCATGTTATAACTTCTTTAGCGCGCAATCTTAATTAGGTTTATAGCAGGTGGTTCACGTGAACAGCCAATTGAATTGCTACATGCCGCAGTAATTTTGCAATGTGCCCATAAATTACCAGCGAGTGCGTAATATTTCAATGCACATCAATTACTGCTACACAAAGCTGCAGTGACCACATTATAGCTGCATAAATAAAGGAGTCGGGCGTAGCTTGCACCAGTGATGAAAAGCTAAAGGCATAGTAAAGCTGATCGATTCTTAGCTGGTCTTTCCCGTACGAAGTGATGCGAAGTAACGCTGTGGCATTTGAATTACTTCCAAATAATGGCAAATTGCAGTTGAATTCAGCACGGTCACCTCTTGCCATTTGAGCCATTCAATGTCATGAACGTCTTAAAGGAGTTGAGTTCAGTAGGGTCACTTGCGAGGGCGCTGCGATTGCCGGGAAGCGGCTTCCTCATCGACAGTACGAATCAATTTCGGTCTCCCCATATGTGCGTGGGGTGCCGCATTCCACGCCACGCGCTGGCTCTGTGTAAAACGAAGGAAAGCGCGCGCAGTTTGCTGGTATGTCACCAGTGATTCAGTGGTCGCGCGCAGTGTCTCGGCGGGTAAAAATCTCTGCAAATACTTTTTTGAGAATTTGGTGTAAGTGTCAGAGATTTCAGCTGAAAGAAAGCAAAAGAACTTCAACTAAAATAAAATCATCTTGTTGATGCAGGCAGGTGGAAGTGCCATGGGTGCTCATATATCTTTCTTTTGTTTGTTTCTCATTATTCGATACTTTCTTCCCAAACACAATGGTATGTGTGAGCAGTTGTGACCCGCAATATTTATAAAGACGGCTGGATTATCACAAGCAGTCACAATAGTATAAATGCCAAGGTAAGGTTTAATCGCTGAGAACCAGAAGGCCAACTCCTTAGCCCAGATGAACAGCTACCGAGCCACACAGTGGGCAACCGACACAAGAAATGTTTGGAAATGACATCAAGTTAATTGTATACGACATAGCTCAGCCCAACAGACTGCCCCGAAGAAAATATTCCCCATCGCTTAATTCAATCACGCGCGACAGAGTAGTTTCGTAGAGATAGCTACAAACACCTAACCGTGGCGCTCGCGACATCGCTTAAGGGACGCCCCACAACACAAGCAGCAACGCTCAGACTTCCACGCCCCGATGAAGCTCCACCCCATCACTTGAATGTGCCCCCGCACCATAGCACTAGCAAGTTAAACCGAAAGGAAACCATAAAACAGTAGAAAGCCACCCTGTCGAGTGTGAACTAGGGGATCCAGGGGAATCTGATAATGAGAGTGGGAAGGGCACCGGTTGCTTTCGAGGTAATGGATTGATGGCTCGACCTATGGTTTCTTAAACGTTTCAACAAATGTTTTTGAGGAACTACTTTTAGTCACCCAGCAGCGCACATGCAGTACTGAAACAAGGATGAAATATAGTTCTCATACAACGACCATAAACATAGTCATACACGTACATCCGAAGTTAGCGAAGGTGCAATTGCATGTGTCCGCTTGGTATGTAAAGATACATTTCGGTTTTGTGTGTGAAAAGTTTTTTTTTTTCAGAGTGCATGTTATGGGTCGCGGATGCTCGGAAGGACGACATTCCGCAAAGCTGTGTGGACTATTACGAAGACAACTGCGACGCCGAAAAAACATCTTATCTCAAGGATGTGTGCAGCTCCTCTTGAAGCGTGCCATTGCGAACTGGATCACTTACTAGTCTAACTACAGCAATGCCCATTGGAAGCTGATTACAGAGCAATTAACTTGTTTTTCTTTTGCTAACAAAGAAAATAAAAAAGCTTCTCCAAGCAATACATAGTTTAATGTGGTTGACATACTTCTCTCTGAGTAAATAAAGAGTAACACAGAGAGTGAAATCTCATGCCGTGTAAGCCACAATATGTGACTTTTTTTTAATTCTAGACAAAAACCTGGCAGATGATGTGCAAACAACGCTTGCTGTTTCACAAGACATAGCTAATATATCCAGACGCTGAATACTTTCCGTCACAAATTTGCTCTCCCAGAGCACGTATTCACTGCCGTTATTTTGGTTTTAGTTAATTGCTTTTCGGTTATTGGTTTCGGTCATTTGCTTTGGCTATTTTGCTTTTGAGTAATCTTTTGGTTATGTGCGCTCTGAGAATATTTAGGTTGTTTAACTATCAACGGCCTGCTGCGGTTTTTTTTTTCCTGCGAAATGTGATTTTTTTAGGTTCTACACCTATGTATTACCCTATTCGGTCATCACTGTTATGAAATAAATAAAAAATGCAATCGAGAAAAAATAACTGGGGGGAGGAGGGGGGCGAAGTGCGTAAGGTAGGGTGTTTAAGCTCCATTTACGTGAAAACTGGGGAGGAGCGAAGGACGCAATATGCGCCTCTGCTCCCCAGAGTAAGACCCGCAGTCCACTTTTAGTTAGGGGAGTATGGTAGGGTAGATAGTATATGTTGCCTTAGTGGTAATATGTTAAAAACAACTGCAAATATTCTCATAAACTTTTACGTGCCTATGAAAAATGCAATCGGGTATGAAGCCACGCCATTTTTTTTTGTGCCAGGTTGCCTATCTTTCCTATGACCCCTCTCAAATGTTAAAGTGGGTTCACTTATTGAATGTACCTTTTCTCTGCTACCACCGCAAGGAATGTAACGATATTAAGACTCATAGGTTACATCTGAAATAGAACAGTACACGCAGATACCCTAAAAGGCTTCGCTCATAATAGAGAGTTCGATAATTGGGGCACCAAGACACTGGGTCCCCATGCTGCGTTGCGTAGGTTGCGCTTGCATTCCGAAGATCGGCACAGCTTGAAAATTAGATTGAATGCATGCTGCGTAGGGTCAAACGCCAGGGGCGCCATACGTGAGGATGTTAACATTATGCGAGACGCAGGCCATTCTGCATCGTGGTACACGTTGCGTGTGAGTCGTCTCGCACACGAGGCAAGACGCCTTGGAGACCCATGCTAGTTTTTGATTTATGGGCCTTGGGTCAACACGAGCGCAAGAGCCCAAGAATATTTTGACTACTGTGCATGTGCCATAGCGGGTGGCAAACTTCTTGGGTCCCGAAGCTCCTTGACGCGCCAGTTCTCAAGCTCTCCAATAGGTACTCGCTCGGGGAGCGTAATGTGTATCTTGGCCTCGTCAGGCCCATCAAACGCGATTTCATAGACCGTTGCTGTATAAGACAACAGGGGCGAGGCTCTAGTATTGAAAAAAGTCACAAACAACACACTTCAGAACAGTGCCAGATCAAACGACGTTTAATTTCCTCGCATCCAAGCAGCAATATATGCTTTGGATGAAACTGTTTGGTGCACACGGAGATAATAGGTTGTAGATTGCCAAAGTAAATCTCTCTCTCAATATTAATAACAAATCGAGACAGAACATCTGATGTATTAAAACAGTAGCGAAATTCCGCAGTCGTTGTCCTGACTTATGCGACGCCATGCTGTCGGAGTAAGGAAGCCCAGCAGAGAAAGTAGTGAATACGTCAACCTGTGTGGCGAGGTGGGGAGACAGGTCGGTGAAAAAATCTCATAATAGCTGTGTGCTTTTGTAGACAGACAATTCTACATCAAGTGAAGTAGACAAAAGTTGAAATAGTAATTGAAATGTCGAGTGTGCGATGAACCCTCCTTCTCTTTTTCTACATGTAGTTTGGAATTGCTTTTTGTCGCTTTCACCTCTTTAAAAATATGCTCAGGCTCAGGGACGAACCGCACATCTGCTCTCTTTTGGACGCTACATGGCGGCGATAGTACTGGCCATGTCCATCCCAATGTTGGCGTTACAGTTTCTCCTACCACTCTCATGCCACGCAGTGAATCCTCAGTCCCAGCCAGATGTCGTTGATGCCTTTAAGGTAGGCAAATGCTTTCCAACTATTTGATGCAAAGACCAGCTAAATGCGACACAGCCGAACCTGACTATAGCAAACTTAGGAAAACTGAAATGTTCTTCATACTGAACTATTCTAAAGCACAACGAACTATACCGAAACGAACTATTCTTTATATTGAAATATATCGAACAAGGGGCAGCGATAAATGCCGCGAGAAGTTGGCTTTTCCTTACATATGGGTGAAACATGTGGCTTCAGACGGAATATATAGAACATCAAGAAAGGACAGCAGAAAGAGGCAGACGAGCACCACCTGTCTCAGATTTAATGGTCAGCATGCCTCGCTGTGCTGCCACAAACCAATAAGTACACAATGTCACAGTTCGGCACGCGTATTGCCTCCTCCGGACAGCAAACTTATGTCCTAACTCAACCATAAACAAGTTACCCTAGAAGTTTCAATCAAAAGGTTTTGGCATTTCGCCATGAACGAGGCCTTTGCCGCATGTATTTGGGCGACAAAGCGGTGAGCTTAAGAGGATGCTGCGCGAAACAAGCGCTCACCTTGACGTGCTTTTCTGCCTTCACGATTCCTCGTCGCGGCACCACTGGTCCGTCAGGCAGGGTCACCGTACGCTTCTCCGCTCGTTTTGTTAATGCGGCACATACCATGAAACGAAAGAATCTGCTGTTTGCCACAAAAACTAGCGAGAATGAATACAGCCACATTCCCGGCAAGGAAGCCTCATGTCACTGCGGTGTACAGCGTCTCACAAAGCAGGCCAAAAAGCAGGCCAATAAACAAGGCAAAAATTAGGCTGAAGGTAAACCAGACGTTTCCGGCCCCCGTTAAGTACGCAGAGCTGTGTATAAAAAATTGGAGGCGCTATTTACATTGACACCATTTTTTGTCGCGTCAAACCCTTTCCTTCATGCAATCCCGTATTTACATTAGCGTACGACGTAAAAAAATAAGGAAGATGCTGGGTAGGCATGGTTCTTACATTACTTTGGGACAGTTTCGCTAACCCAAGCTGTCCAATGAAATCTGCAAGGTAGATATAATTTCATGTACGTTGCATATTCAATTGTTTGATATGAGTAATTCATTCTGGTTGTTTGACAGTTCGATATATCCGCGTTCTGAAAAGCGAGGGAGTAAATGCCGTGCATGTGAAGGGAAAGAGCGACTTAGAGCACCTATAGTGCTTCCCGTTGAATGCTTTGTTTTCTTTTGAAATGTAATCACGATGGAGCACATGAGTTATTTTCTTCCGAGTGATCTTAATAAAATTACTTCATGTACTACTAAGCCAACATCGTTTAAAGCCATTCACTTAAATGTACGCTCTGTAAAAAACAAGACCATGCGTTTGGAGGAATTTTTCGGTGAATTTTCATTTACTTTTTCTTTGATCATGCTCACTGAAACTTGGAGCACCAATGATTCTGACACCTTTACGATGACTCACTATAAAACTTATTCTCTGAACCGCTCCAGCCTGCGAGGAGGTGGAGTTGCTTTGCTGGTGCCTAACAATATAGAATGCGATAAGCTGGACTCGTACTCTCTGATTACTGATGATTTTGAAATCATATCAGTCTGTACTGGTCAGTTCGTGTTTTCGGTGTGCTATCGTCCCCCTAAGGGAAATGCGCTCAAGTTTTTCCAGTTTTACGATAATTTCCTTTCATTTATAACGGACAGTAAATACACATTAATAGCTGGTGGGGATTTTAATATTGATTTGTTGAAGGATAATTATTTTGCTATGAATTTTAACACAACTCTGGCTTCGAACGGATTCGTTAACCTTATAAAAATTCCAACAAGGGTTACACCAGAGGGTGCGTCTCTTCTTGATCTGCTTATTACGAACTCATCTCAACCAATAGCTGCAACAGGTGTAATAACATGCGCAATCAGTGACCACCTTCCGGTGTTCTTAAGTATAAATAAGATTCCAGCGGTAAAGTACTGGCAAGAAAAAGCTGCATATCAGCGTATAACAAACCAAACCCTGAGTTTATTCTACAACTCAATAACACAAGTTCAGTGGGATGCCACCGGCCTTTCAAATGATGCAAATGAGGCCTACGATAAGTTTCTTTACGTATTCAAGCAGCTTTATCATTCCTGCTTCCCACTAAAAGTGCGCGGATTAAAACGCAAAACGCGCAAACCTTGGGTAACTATTGAATTACGAGAAGAAATTAAAACGAAAGATAAGCTGTTCAAAGTATTCTTAAATACGCGTTCAACTGATGACCTCAAGGTATTTAAGAAATACAGGAATAGGCTAACAAAAAAATTGCGTAAGGCACGAGCGGAATACTACTCTACTTTACTTGAAGTTAAAAACGGTCGCCATGATTTGCTGTGGTCAAGATTAAATCTCTTACTTAGACGGGAACAACCACAGGCTTCCCTACGTATGTTAAAGCTAAATGATAAAGATATATCTGGAGTAGAACTGGCGGAAGTTTTCAACAACTTTTTTACAACTCTCGCCCATAACAGTCCGTCCGATGATTCTAATAAATACATTAATTCTTTTAATAATGATACAATATTCCTGAGCCCTGTTACAACAGAAGAAGTTATAGCAGTATTACAAAACCTTAAAAACAGTCATAGCTGTGACATTGATGGCATTCAAGTGAGACCTGTGAAACATGTTGCCGCCGTCATTGCGCCTACTCTTGCAGACATATTTAACCTATGTTTAGATACCGGTACATTTCCTAAAAAAATGCAAGTTGCTAAAGTAACGGTTCTATATAAGAAAGGAGATCGCAATGATTTAGGTAATTATAGACCAGTATCCATACTTCCAATATTTTCGAAAGTTTTTGAGAAAGTATTATATACTAGGTTGTATGATTTTATTAATAAACATAGCCTACTATCACCAAATCAATTTGGGTTTTGTAAAAATAAATCTGCTGAACTAGCACTACTCGAACAAAAGGAATATATATTAACACAGTTTGAAAAGAAAGCCTTCGTTATTGGTATCTTCGTAGATTTCTCGAAGGCGTTTGATCTTGTCAATCACACTATACTCCTGCAAAACTTAGAATGTTATGGTATTCGTGGACAGGCGCAGTTGCTCCTGAAATCATATCTATCGCATAGAAAACAGGCTGTTTGCATTGACAACATAAAATCTGAACTAAAGTCTGTTACCTGTGGCGTTCCACAGGGCAGTATATTAGGACCATTGCTTTTTAATATGTATCTTAACGACATTTGCAATATCAACACCACTGCTAAATTTATCATCTATGCTGATGATACTAGCATCTTTTTTACTGGAAATAATCTTGATATCCTTGTTCGGGATTGCAATGATACCATGAGTGAGCTACAAAAATGGTCAGAATCCAAGTGCATGCGTATCAATGAGAAGAAAACACAAGCTGTCGTATTCCGCCCTAAAAATAAACCAGTTCCTTTTTCCTTCGGCATTAAACTGAACTCACGATGTATAGATGTGGTCGAACAATTTAAGTGCCTCGGAGTGGTTTTTTCCTCCTCTATGTCTTGGGAACAGCATGTGGATCACATTTCAACGAAACTGGCTCAAATAACTGGGATCGTAGGCAGGCTCAAATACGTTCTCCCAAAACCAATAAAACTACTATTGTACAATTCCCTTTTTTACTCTTATTTAAACTATTGCCACTTAGTCTGGGGCACGACTACTCCTGGCTGTCTTCAGCGTATCTACATTCTGCAAAAGAGATTCCTTCGTCATGTTCATAATGTACCTTGGCACTCGCCCAGTGCAGATCTCTTTTTGCAAAGTAATGTAATAAAGATCGAGAACTTGTACAAATTCCGTTTGAGTGTTAGGTTTCAACTCGAAACTCTAAAAAATATAAACCATCTACGATACCTTGCTGATTTGCATGCACGAAAAATGACATTTATGACAAGGCATGGAGAGTCTTGGGTTGTGCCGACACCCAGAATAAACTTAGGTCGACAACGCCTGCAATTTACTCTTCCTTCCCTTCTAAATTCATATTTACATAGTGGTTTTGATCTCTTCAGTTCGTCAAAGAATACTTTGCGTGCCATGTACGTTAATATGTAAACTTAGTTTTTTTTGAATATTATTTATACTCTATTTTTAGAGTCTTTTTTGTATTTGTCGATTATTGTTTATTTGCCATTACACTATGTTAATACTGTTGTTTAATGAACATTGCTGTGAAGCTGCTGCTAAGCAAAAGGGTGTCGCGGCTTTGTCAAGCTGTCTCTGACAGCTTTTTCTGCGCCTCCACTGTCTGTACCCCTACAAGGCAGAAATAAAGAATTTGAATTTAAAGAATTTGAATTTCTAACGTATACTATAACTACCAATCCTGATCTCTTATTTTTTTTATCGCCCTTAACTAGACGCAGGGGATATGGTTTCAGCAAGAACTTGTTGCTGCTCATCCTTTCGCAGTTAAACATTTCAAAGAGTTTGACAAGAAGGTGGACACATGAGCACGGTGCCTTCTCGCCTCTGCTCGTAAAAACTATAGTATTGTCCTTATAAACTTAGCATATAGACTTAATATTTAGACGTTGCTGAAGCGCGTTCCCAAATACCCGGTAATGTTTTCTTATCCATATGATAATTAAAACCACTCCATATAATTGTATACTATAGGTCTCAACAGTATTTAGCATAGAATCTTTGTACAGAATAATTAGACAGCTTGCAGGATAAAAAGAAACGGCCCCTGTCAGGAGTTATAGGAGGCAGTAATCACGTAATGCGGACGCAAAATCGGCATTTTTACGCACAAGGTATGTTTCTCGACTGCTAGCATCTAAAGAATTAAACTAATTGCGCCTTTTTGTGATGTGGAAAAGTGTGAGAATTACGGTTATACATGAATGCATAGAAATTTTCATATGACTGCATGAAAGGGTTGGCATGGGTTTAAGTATCATCTTCATCATTATCAGCCTGATTACGCCCATTGCAGGGCAAACATCTCTCCCATGTTCCGCCAATCAACCAAGTGCTGTGCTTTCTGCTGTCACGTTATACCTGCAAACATCTTCATCTCATCTGCCCACCTAATTTTCTATATCTCTCTGAAGCATTTACCTTCTTTTTGAATCCAGTCGGTTGCCCTATATGACCAGCAGTTATCTTACCTACGCGCTGCGTGCCCAGCCCGTGCTCATTTTTTTCTTCTTGATTTCAACTATGGTATCTTTAACACTCGTTTTTTCGCTGACCCGATTGTCTCTCCTCCTGTCTTTTATTGTTTTATTACCTTTCTTTTTCATCGCTCACATCATCATTTTCAATTTAAGTTGAATCCTTTTTTTAAGCTTCAATGTTTCTTGCTTTGTAGGCAAGTATCAGTACAATTCAGCTGTCAAATATACATTTCTCTTTAAGAATAATGGTGAGCTACCATGCGTGATATGATAATGCTGGCCGAATGTGCTTCACTACATCCTTATTTAAATCATTATATTTTTCTAGTGATTCGGCATCGTGGTTACTGCCTGCCTTAAATAAACGTACTCTTTTATTACTTGGGTCTCATAACCTGTCGCAAATCACTGTTCTCTTTCGAGGCTGTTACACATAACTTTAGTTTTACGCATGTTATTTTCGAACCTGCTCTTCTGCTTTGTTTGACCAATTCAGAGATTATGAGTGGTGGCCTTCTTTTTTTCTAAAGCAGCCAAATTCACTTTAACTGAAACTGAAAAAAAAGGCACTTTTTTTGCTACTTGCCCGTGACTGGTCGGGCCTGCCCAAACAACTGTTTGCCGGCATGTGTCTCCCGCCTGGATACCTCAAATTTTTATTTGGGCCTAGATCTACATAGCCCAATATTGTCGGTATTAACAAGTAAATTTTGTGTATGGCACTAATGGATTTTAACATTTCATATGCACGTTAATTAGCTCATAAAATTATTCTAAAGCGATTCCAATCCACGATATAACAATATTCTGCATTAAAATGAACAGTATCAATGTGCTTCCATTGGTGCCGTGCTTTATTGAAAGGGAGTAGTGGTAGTCATTAGACTTGAAGAGCCAGTTGTCCTTCAAGGGCGCACTGTTCTGGACTGCCAGAACTGTTTTCCTCTTCTTGAAATCAACTGAAGGCCTTGAAAACGGCCCCAGCTCTTCTTCTTCTGAGTTTTCTCAAGGAATAGCTCTTGAAGCAATAAACTTGTAGCCAACATTTTCATTTAGTTTGTCATTTATTTAAAATACCTCATTTTGCTGTGAAAAGAGGACGTGATTTTTGGTAATAAGGGCTGCAGCGCGAACATGAAGGTGCTAGAAGAAACAGACGAAAGGCGAGGCAAAGAAAGCAAAGAGGACAACACGAGCGCTGCTTTCCTCTTTGCTTTCTTTGCCTCGCCTTTCGTCTGTTTCTTCTAGCACCTTCGTGCTCGCGCTGCAGCCCTTATTACCATGAATTCAAACCAACTAGCCCAAATGGCTGTTCTTCTTCGACGTGATTCTTCACCGCTAAACACGAGAAGAAACATTAAGAGGCACAAAAAAGTAGCAAAATTGGCCAATTACTCTTCGTATTTGAGTTTTGCACTACAGCATCATGGTCTTCCGTAAGTTTCAACTTGCGCTATGTAGGATAATGAATTGTGGAACGTAAACGATATCAAAGCAAGTACGATTTAAATGAAACAATTTGCGTGAAAGCATGTTGGTAGTATTGGTCAGTATCATGGACGCAGTGCCAGTTCAATGAACGTGTCTCACTTTGAAGAAAACAAGAGGAGCGTGTAGTTTATGTTTCATTATGAAGTTGCTTTTTGAGTGCACATGACGATTGGGAAGCGCCCCATTTTGAATCGAAATCTTTCATACGCTCAAGGCATTTAGGTATGCTTTACGCTCCTGTTATATTTAGGCCAGTTTCGGTTTTTGCACGTCACAGTTGTAACTTCTTCCTTTTATTACTCATTGACTAAATATAATCAACAAATCACAGGTTACAGCGCTGCTCTCCATTAACTGGCGCGTGCAGTTATGCTATACCATGAACAACGTACTTGAAGTCGCATAACGAGAATTGAGCGAGTTGCTTGTACCAATCCATGGAAGTTAAGTAGGCTCCGAATGAGTTGCTTGCACTGAAGGTGGCCACAACTGACAATGTCTCCCGAAAACCAAGCTCTCGTACAGTATTTATTGTAACTCCCGTAGTGATACCTATAATTTGCAAGAAATCTTTGTTTGCTGACCTTAGTTTGTGAACATTTTTTTACACAGATTCATAGACCAGTACAACACCTTCAACGGCGGTGATCGGTAGTTCCACAGCACTGGAGCAATCGCTAACCAAAATGAGCCGACGCGTCAAGTGGCTCCTCGCCTTTTTTTTTATATAGTTCGAGCTCCTACACGAAATACGCAAAGATCCGGGAAGGCTAGCACTGACAATCGCATTGAACGAACCCTGCCTAAGAATTCGGAACCCTTCAGATTGTGCATTCACGATTGAGTAATGGTGCCACTATTCCCGATTTTGACGGTTGCCTAAGTGGTTCAGGCCACTTCGAACAGATGTGGTAATGCAAGGTACACCAAGAAGCACGCTCTGCCAACTGCACTTGCACCCCCCTGTTCCCCCCCCTTTTTTTGTTTGCATATGCGCGCCGCTGAGACGGTGCACCTACGCGATTCATCTTGATCCCACAGTGTGCCGCCTACTAGGTTCGACAAAATCGTGTAGAAATAGAGCTTTGTGCATTCCAACATGGTGATATATCCTTGATATTTTTTTTGTTGGCGATTCCTTAAGATTGCTTTGCATATACTAAGCATATGCGGACTTGAGTGTTATCCCTATGTTGTTGTTTTCTATATTACAGGCTTTGGCTGCTTTTCCATACGCAGTTGCCATGGCGGACACTGATGACAGTGGTGATCTTGACTGCATGATTACACATCGAACAAAATTCAGTAAACAACCACCCAGATTTGGGTATGCCTCTTCCATCAAGGGCCGAAATGGTGTTAAGTAAGAGGCCTTTTTACAGACAGCTATTTCCCAGGGCTGGGGTTGCGCTCTCTGTGTTAAACAAGCGACAACAATTGAACCATTGTATGTGCGATACATGACTTTTCAACATGACTCAGATGTGTATAACGTGAACAAGGACTGTAAACATGAGAAGCAGTTTGCAGATGATTAGATGCAGCCTAAAAATTTAGGCTACCTAGAGCTGAAAGGCTGGAGTTGATAACTGGATTGCTCACATAGCGAAAAAATACTGTATTGTGGTAGTCACGGGCTTGCTTTGTCCAACCAGTAGTTAAACTTTGGCAGTCGGATGCCTCCAAGTGCAGGAACTGAATGGTCATAACTGCGGCAGTAGTGACCCTCGGTGAACGTGCCCTGTGCCATCAAGGACATAGTTGGGGGGAAGGAGGATAACTAACAAGAACACGCAGCACCTGCTCCTAGCATCAGCATCCAGTCCAGTCAAAATTGAAGTCCTGCTGGGCTGCGGGCAGGTTGCCCCTTTCCTTTGTGCGCAAGTGGATCATGCGAATTATCCATGCGCAGCATGTGGTTGGTTCTTAAAATAGCGTAGGACGTATAGCTCCTGCAAGTTGTGGGTTAAAAGAAAAAAGATACGACCGGCATGTGGGCTAAAGAAGTCACGTCTGAGTATGCACTCAAATATATTTTTATTTCTTCTTGGCTGGCTTTGAGTATTCGCTAGATCATGGAGCAAATGCTTCTGCAAGAAACACTCTTGATAGACCCCATTTTTTCTTATCAGAATATGCGCTTACGGGAAGCGACGTTAGGTGGGCTTCTTTTTAAATATGAAAACACTTTGAAGTGGAAAGAAAAAGAAACAAAACCACGAGACTATGTTGCGGCAGCCTTTCAATTGATCTGCTTCTCTTATTTAGAAATGCAACAGGAAGCATTTTCATTTTTTTCCTTGTGTGCTATGAACATGTTTTAACTATCGCTTTTCGCTATCACACACTATAAATGTTGTGTTGATTGATGTTCTTATTTTGACATAACCGTCATCGATTGTTCACTATTCGTAACTTTGTTTTATCAGTATCAAAATCGGAAGATGGCTTTGCAAGGTTTCTTTTTATATTGTTATAGCAAGTATTTACTACATTAACGCAGATTGGGTTACTACTGCACACATCGCACTGGAACCATTTGCTTTGCTTGCTTCCCTAGATACACGGCAACCACCCACTTTGGGGGATAGGCCAAGAATGCAATGTGGAGACTGTTAAATGTTAGTTTAGGTTAGTTATGAAATTTAAAACCCAAAATAAAGATATGAAATAGCAATAATACCTAAAATATTCAGTTTAACTACAAGTAATATGGTTTTGAGCCTGTATTCCAGACTGCCGTATAGCCTTACGGGATTAATTTTGAAAACTTAAGTTTTCAGTTAACCAAATGAAGAATTTTAATTACCAGATTAAAATGATACTCGTTGAGTAGTTATGATGAAATTACATGCGTCATCAAAGGCATCCTTGTAGTAGTATCCCAAACCTGAGGCACCAAAGCTTAAAACATTTTCCTCCGATAAGGCTAAGCCTATCTTTGTAAAAGGAATCATTAGAAGTCGAGTTGTGATACGAGAATATCTTGCACAGGACAAAAAGTAATGTGCGATATTTCCCAGTTCTCCGCAGACTTAGCAGAGGGGTGATATCGTCAGACCAGCCCTGTACCAGTAAAAGTTTAATGAGGGGACACGACATCAAAATGTGGTGATCATGACTTCATCCAATCGGGGTCAATACTTCCCGTAACAATATTATCACTGTGTTGATATATTCGAAGTCTTGTGAACCATGCCTCGCGGTGCTGTATGCGTAAGGATGCACGGCAATTTCGAACTTAAGAGGCGTGTTTTTTTATATGTGCGACATCTTTTATTCAAACAACAAATGCATGTGGTAATCAGGCATGACATAGCAAGCCATATTATTGACAAGTCCTCAACGTTGAGTCTACGTGTATATAGCATTTTGTGGTTCCTTCTAGACACTGCATTTGCGCGAGAGAGTAATTATTTATTATCTCGTTTACAGCCGCGCTATAACGTACCACATCAAGCCTGGCCCCACAATTGACACAACAGAGTTCACTGTCGATGATGGTAAATACTGACTTCATAATTATCTTCACATAGAAATTCCTTTTGAATGAGCCAGTAATGAAAATTACTTCGCAACGTAAAAAAAGAAGAGAGAGAAAGCGTCCTCACTAAACGCTGCTCAAGTTACCAGCAATATTCGGCTGATTTGTTGCCAATATAGTAAAACGACGGCTCCGATAACTATGCTGTACCAATATAACAATAACACCTGCTAAGTAGAGCAGGAGATATTGCAGATAGCACAAGCACGCAAGTCTATTAGATTGCCATTGAATTTTCTGTTGCAATGTCAAGGTCTTTGCTTCATTTTTTTTTCGCGTATTTGTTTGATGCATCACTGTTTACCGATTCCTTTTTTACCATAAAGAAAACTAGCAAGCTTGATATGCCATTCACCTTAATTTTTTCACTGAAATCAATACATAATGTAGCAGTAGTAACCGAGTTGTTTACGCATTAGAGTTTGAGATATGGAAGGTGCACATTTTTTCTGGCGTGTGAAACTCAAGAGGACTTTTAAATGCGAAGCATTTTTAGCGAACTTCTGTGACTTTCAGTCTATCTATCTATCTATCTATCTATCTATCTATCTATCTATCTATCCAGCCGCTTAAATTTGGGTGCTCTCGCGGGCAGCCCCTTAACTTGGCGTGAACCAAAATTAGCATGGGAGGGTAAGATGGTTTATGACGCGCTTGTCAAGACATGGGTGTCACAATCCCGTCGCGTACGTCGTCAAACACTTCCCGCCAGATAATGGCAGGTACCCACGGACGGGTATGTGCCGCTGGTATGCGGGTTAGTGCCACAGGTAATTGACACTTAGTATGTATACCCAGGAACGACGAGAACACACAAGGGCAATTTCAAAGCACGAAGTGTTAAGAAATACCCGACATCGGTAGCGTCGACCCTACGAATGCAAAGAATAAATGCCAGAGTCCCAGCTGGAATCGAACCTAAGCATTCTGCATAGCAGTGAAGCATCTTGCCACAGAGCTACGCCATGTCTCGGAACTTCTTTTCAAATAGACGCCAATCTTCGTGAAACGTCAATAGTGGTTGCAGTGCTGCCTATCCAATTTTATAAACAGTACATATGTACTCTTTCAATACAGCCATCCCGTCTGGTTAATGTCAATTGTGGTTAGTCGCCATGCGCTCAAGTTGGTTTATGTAGCAGTGTCCAGCAGTATCCTCGCGAGCATCAGCGCGTCATATAAGCTTCTGGTGTTGCTAATACGCATGTTCCAGTTGGCATTGTTACGCAAGTGCAAGCGACTGGTTATCTAAACATATGCAACTCTTCAACATATGTCCGCGCGTACATTTGTATATATATTAGCATGATATAATGACGTGTCGCTCAGTAAAAACATTGCAACACGGTCACCTTCCCTCCTGGTGCTTCGCATAACGTCGATTCCCAGGTACGCGGGATCTGCCGAATTTTCAGCATTCAGAGCAACAAAAAATATTCGAACTTTATTATCGTTACAATTCACTAATACAAATCGATGAAGTTACCTATGAAAGAGCACTGTCATGTCTCGTGCTCCTACTGCTCTGTTTCTTCTGGCTTCATGCAACGCACACACGCACACACACACACACACACACACACACACACACACACACACACACACACACACACACACACACACACACACACACACACACACACACACACACACACACACACACACACACACACACACACACACACACACACACGCGCGCGCGCGCGCGCGCGCGCGTTTGCATACTCGGATTTTCTAAAAGAATTTATCTTCATGGTCTCGAAAGCAGAAATATGTGGGCCAAACTAATGAAGAGGGCGTGTATAGAGCCACGCTCGCTTGTTTCTCTAATCTCATGTCTCGGTCTGTTGAAAGCTCACATGTCATGCGCAAAAGCAAAACATGCTTGCAGATATAAAACAAAAATATTTAGGTGCGCGATTTTCAGTTAAGAGAAATAATTTTTGCCTGCTCTTTTTCAACCAAAGTGGGTTCTCTGGCCACGTTAACTGTGTTCATGTACTGCCTTAGCTTCTCTTGCGCTTTGTAGACACTAATTGAAGCTAACAAAGACATCTATACGAAACAACCGAATTCCGCGTGCTCTCTTGGGGAAGTGAACACTCTACCACGTTTTCATGCATTCAGCAATTTTTTATTTCATACCACGCAGATTATAGCCATGTGTCGCAAGCCCACTTCCTCTTCTCAGACTATAAGGACTGCATTCTCATGGAACTTCCCATATATGACAAACCAGGTAAGATGAATAATTTAACAGGCTCAGCATTTTGAGTAACATGTAATGATGGTAGTCGATTGAGGGCAGATGCACAAACTCACCAGGTCACACTAGTAGGACTTATCACCAGTGTCATGGCCATGAACCTGCTGATATTGTGATACGAACGCAAATTGCGAGTCGGTTGCGCACGTGGTGCTTTACTGAAGGACACGATCGCAGTTGTATTATACCCTTAACTGGAAATGCGCAATTAAACACGCAAGGCTTGAAAACAGCGAAACTGGACAATTATGAAGACTATATTTATTACTTCTAGGTTGTGTTTGTGCCTTAGTTAGGTGATAAGGGTTGTTTTTAAATGACTTCTTGGTCATTGCTAGGAATGAACTATAGGTGATATGCGGGGTTTTTTCTACATTGACCAATAACAGGTGCGAGTTAAACCACAAGCGGTCAGAGACACGGCACCTATATCCAAGCTCCAGAAACAAACCCGTGTTGAAACCAATCGTTTGCATCTCAAACTTCAGTTTCCTTTCGAAGCTGTCATCGCCATCCCCATACTGTAGTGTTAGGCTTGTTTGTTTGTAGTCTGCCCATTTTAAAGCGAAAGCTGCTCACAACTCGGGTCACGTGCAGTTGTCCGTCGCCACCGCCGGTGTCCATAACCACATCCCACAAAATTAAAAAAAAAGACTAGGACCAATCACAGTGTGGCTCGAACCCGGGTCCGCTGGTGCCAGCCCAGCATTCTACCACTGAGCCACGCCGGTTTTTTTTTCTTTATTGACTGAGCCACGCCGGTGCACGGACTTGTTGGCGAACTTTTCTTAGACAGGCTTGATGCCGCGAAATCAATTGCGTTAATACGGCTTATAAAGAGTTTTAAGACAGCGAAATAACAGCCAGTCATCGCACAATACGAATAGCGTAACGAGTGGGTTGTCCAAAGCTCCAACTCGTTACAAAAAGCTTGTTCCTGCTCACCTATTAACTGTGGCGCATGCCCTCATCAGCCATAATTCCTCATCGTCGTCAGCCACTGCATGAACAATTGCCACAAAATTCCTTGCAAGTGTTTAGCGGCTACTACACTTCTCAGAAGAATGACGAAAAATAGCATCGCCAATGCCGGCATACTACCCAAAAAGTTTTATTATTAATGCCATAGTGGGCGTCAAGCAAGTGTGCTTTTAGTAGTTACCCAGAGTGTATAGAAAAAGTTCTGAAAATCCGCATCTCTTGCTTTCGCTGTGATTGTGCTGTGCCTTTCGCGAAGGCCTGGCGTTTTTTATTCTGTTATTTTTCCGTTTCAGTTCACCCGTGGTGAGTACTGCTAGTACTCTTTGGACTACTCATCGTAAACCGTTCCGTATTTTGTTCAGGACATATCTCATTTCTTCTGAATAATAGATTCCAATAAATAAACGCAAACAATTCAAGATTAGACAATTCTGGTAACATTACATGTATGCGCTTTGCACAAGAATATACATATGACTAAAGGCATTGAGACAGCGTCAACGCCACTCATAACAAAAGCAGGCTGATAATGCTGAAGTTTACCTGTCGTTACTTAGTTTTGTCCTGACGCTTATATATTTCGAATTTGATTCGTCCTACTGCCTAAAAATTTTCCGCAGCAGCATGGAAACCCTTCTTGCGCCAACATGCGCCAACATTTTTATAAGATACTTAAAATCAGAACTTTTAAAATCATCTATAGTAAAGCATTCTTCTACCTACTCTTCTACATAAACGGCATGTTTATTATGTGGGAACATGGCATCAGCACACTTAGTGCATTGGTTGATCACTGGAACAAGTCTCACTCTAGTGTAAATATACCATGCACAATTTTCGCAACAAATAATCACCTTCCTAGACACGACAGTACCTATTGAAGCAAGAAAATTAAAGATGGTGCCTCAGAGAAAACCGAAAGACAGCCAACAATACCTAGATTACACTAGTCACCACCCTTGACGCTGCAAACAAAGAATTTTCGTCGGACAAGTGATACGTATAAGAGGGATCTGTATTGACGACGGTGAATAGGTTGACCATTTGAGAAACCTGAAGGAGACGACGACGAAGAGCCGGTGTGGCAGAATGACGAGTGTTTGAGTTCCATGGTTTTTTGTGAATAATTTTCCATTTGCCTGTCAAGCGCGGTCTCCTGCTGGTGTGCAATGGAGGTAGAGCCCTACGGAAGACTACCGGACACCGGAATGACCTCGGGTGTTGCTTCCAGGAAGCGCTACAGCTCCGAGAGCGGCACTGACAGTGATGACACCGAACCCTACTACGTCAGCAGTGATGAATCAGGGGACGACAACTTAAAGCTCGTAGGAAACCACAAGGGAAAGAGACTTTTTGAGCACGTCACCCAATTCGAGTGAGCCCACCATGCGATCTTCGCGGAATACCGAGGTATTAACCATCCTTTTCATGCCAGTTCTCGCTAGTGACAACATGAGGCACCTTTACCGACAAGCAGTGTCTGCACAGCTAGAGGCACTGGTGCCGAATGAATTGAAAGGAATAAGAGTGAATAGCCGCAAGAAAATCCTAGCGATTGACGTCAATCATGTGACTGTGCTTGACAGATTGCATGAAGTACCGGAACTTAATGAAATGAAAGTCTGCTCTCATATACCGCTGGGAAAAGAAGTGAGCACTGGGGTGATATACGATGTGGCCGAAGCCATTACCAACTTGGACCTAACAGTCTTGATTAGGCCGGCTTCGGAAGATGCCATTATTACTAGTATATGTTGTATCGGGACATCACGATGTGTAAGAATTACATTTAAGGGCGAATCACTTCCATCACACGTAAAAGTGGGTCACTTCCGGCACGCAGTTCGCCCTTTTATACCGAAACCACTTCAGTGCTAGAAGTGCATGAAGTTAGGTCACGTAAGTGGTGTGTGCACGAACTCTACTGTCTGTTCCCGATGCACTGGGCCCCACAACAAAGACACGTGCCAGGCAACGACTTTGAAGTGCTCAAATTGCAATGGGCCACATAATGTCTCTTCGAAGGACGGCCCTTTTATTCGAAATGAGCTAACAATACTGAAGAAAAGGGCCAGAGATGACATCTCATGCCGCGAAGCAGCTGCATCCATAACGCGATGACGGTCCCGTCGCCACCGCTGCACCAAAGCCACCAAAACCTTGTCGCTTCGCGAAGAACGTCCAAAACCACCTCCACCTCCCCCACTCTGGCCAAGCGCTGTCGGTTCCAAGAACAAAGGCGCTTCTGCTAGCAGTGGAGCTGACGCTTCATCCTTATTACCCAGTCAGAACGCAGCCGTTTTAAAGGAAAATGATGCCTCTACCAGCAATGCAGGTGACGCTTGGCCCGAACTCTTAAAGATACATACGCCTGATGAGAGGAATCAGACTTCGACAGGGAGGGACACTTCATCAGTACCTCATAGCTTCACGGACGAAGGACAACTTATAGGCATGGTCAGCACCCTAGCCAGTGCTATGCGCGTGCTGCTGAGCAAGATGCAGACACCGACAACTCGAAGCGTGTTGCAACTGCTTGACACCATGACTCCAGTTCTCGCAAGCCTTCAGAAGTCTGTTGCTTGAGAACGCAAGTGGAACCATCATGGCTTCTCCATCAGAAAGATTTTAAGTGCATGGAGCCACGCATACAAGTTAATGCAACGAATGTGCTCGATTGATGAAGACACGGATGTGACTCACCGTCTGTGATGTTAAACATAGCCGCCGTTTTGTCGATGGCATGATTGACATTTCTCTTCTTCTCTCTCACTCTCCTTCGGACTTTTATTCCCCTTACCCTCTCTTCAGTGCAAGGTAGCCTACCAGGCTTAGCCATGCTTAACCTGTTGCCTTTCTTTCATCTTTATTCTCTCTCTCTGAAGGAAACATTGGTTGAACGAAGTTCAACTAATGTTTCCTCCAGAGAGAGAGAAGTTCAACTAATGAAGCTCAACTGAAGTTCAGCTTCAGAGAGAGAAGTTCTAAACAATGTCCTTCAACGAAGCGTGTAGGCTTGATAGGAAAACAACTCCAGCTAAAATGACTCCCGAAGCTGAACCCAACCAGCTGCCAGCATTTAAACCAAATACTCAGATGCACTCCCAAACATAAACATTATCCTTCGTAAACATTACCCAATACTAGCAAGCAACGAGTGCCTTAAAAAAGCGTTTCCCCAAGTACCAAAGGTGATGTATCACCTCAAGAGAAATTCTGAGGACATGCTAGTCTAAGCAAAAGTAATCCCGAATTCTACTTCCCAAGTAACACCTTGCTCCCGTCTAACATGGAAGACTTTTGATTTCAAATACCTTCCACATGACCTGAAAGGTAAAAGCACTGGGAGTAATTACGTACATCGTATAAAATTTAGTTTTACCTGCTCTAGTGTTAACGTTATCTACGTAATTGAATTTTAACATTTCCTTAAACGGTACATAGGCGAAACAGGAGAGCGTTTGATTGTTAGAATAAACGGTCATCGTGCGAACATGGCAAACAAATGACCGAAAGCCGTGGTTTCGCAATTCAACGCAACAGAACCCAACTTCGGCGATCTCGAACTGACGTATGTAAATACGTCAGTCAATCTTCCGGTCTGCAAGAGACAAAAAAACATACAAAGTCCTACCTTATTCACGAATTCACCACACTCGAGCCAATAAGTATAAACTTTTCTAAAAGTATCCTTGAATGTATTTGCGCTGGTACATACAAAAGAAAATCGATGCGAGTTAATCCTTCTGTCTAGGAGTTTGCAATGTACCATCGCTAACTTCTGACAACCAGGATTCAGCATCACGCATACATTCTTACCTCTCCACCCCTTGATTATTTTCTTTCCATTCACGGAAAACCTGTTCCCTTTTCACCCATACAATTCGTCGAAGCGCAACCGACCCCACGCTCTCCGCCTCCCGTATATACAATGTTGCTTTCACCCCTTCGTAGTTAAGATGGAGGAGAGGGTACTAGCAGAGACAGGGTAGCGCTAAATAAAACAGTTCTGCTTTAAGAAAAGTCCGCTTGTGAAAACGTCGGCTCGACACAACACCTGTTTACGGATTTTCTTTAATCGCAAGCCCCCATCTTCTCTTTCCTGCCGTGTTTTGGATTGCCTGTTAGAAGTAGTCTTTTGTTGGTATTTTCGTTTCGCGCTGTGCAAGCTAGAGCAATACTCAGCCATTAGACAAGGCTAAAAACCTCCTATGATGAGTTCACTAGTACCACGTTGTCTGCTCAGCGTCTCCTCGTCGTTTGGCTGATAGCAAAAATATCTAGCAACTAAACAGTGCGAAAATACTTTCTCTAAAATTTTTAGGAATCGCAAATTCAAATAAGTCAGGTTAAAAGTGAATTTAGTTGTTAGGTCCCAAAGCTAGCTGCGAAGTGCCGACTGGCTGAAGAACATTGGTAACAGCATGCACGCCTTACTGCGTTTTACAAATGTTTCCCTAATACGCCTTAACAACGTAGTATTTGTCGTTGTATCTACAATCCGGTCATACAAGATTAGGAAACTGCCGCTTCGATTATCTCTGCTTGTATCTCTGTCTTGTGTATGTTTCTTTCTTTTTCTGTATGCCTTTTTCTGTATGCCTATTTTTACTTTCCTTTGTTCTCTTTCATGCTCTCTTGCTATGCTTCTGTCTCTGTCTGTCTCCGTTTCTTTCTTTTTCTTTCTCTCTCTGTGTTTTATGTGTGAATCTAACGTTTTGTGCCTTTATTTTCATTATTTATCTTTTTTTTTTCTCTTTTCCTTTTTATCATTCTGTGCATCTTTTTTCCTTCCTCTTAATGTCTTTTTTTTTACTTTTCAATCTTTACGTGCCTATTTTCTGTGCATATCTTAATATTTCTTTTTCTCTTCCTTTCGGTCAATTTGTATCTTTCTATGTGCTTCTTTCTCTGCCTTTTTTATCTTTTGATGTTTCTTTAACTTATCTCAATATTTTTGTTCCGATTTTTTCCTATAGATTCCTTTCTTTTTACTTTCTCCTCTCTTCTCTCCTGTCTGTTTTCTGTCACTTTTCTTCTCTCTCTCTCTTTTTATGAATACGATTTCTTTTGAAACCCGCACACACTTTACAGAGTATAGGAGCTAACTTATCTGAAGTGTTTTGAAATGATACTCAGAAATTACGTGGAAATATGACAGCTTTGCTATTTAAAAATTACTGTTACGCTACTAGGACTGAGGAATAAGTGTGGTGACCGAATGTTTTACGAAGTACAGCTAGCAGCAAGTACTTTTTCGGCATATCTTGTTTAACGTCAAATAAATACGACCGCGGCGAATACTACTCATCCCGGTAACGGAACTGTTAACGTTTTGTCTGATGTTTCAACCCATAATATGAGGGGGGGGGGGCAGAGCATATTTTGAAGATATGTCCTGATGTTTGTAGAGAAAGCGCTCGGCAAAGCCTCCCGGTGCGAAAAGATTGCTTCTGCTGTTCGAGCAATGCGGCCCATCCCCCGTCCCCAATCACGATCGTTCACTCGCCAAAAGAGGACCGGAGTTTTCCTTTCTGCTTTAGGAGCCATCGATAACAGGACTCAAACTCAAGGAGATCTTATCGCTATGGCTCTTTGTGCTACATAGATTTCCAGCTCGCTTCATCTCTGTCTCAACGCGCACGGGCTTTTGTAGAATACAAGTTATTGTGTTGAAGTTATTGATTTTAACTTTAAACCAAGCATGACGGCGAAAAGAAGAAAAGTCGTTGAAGGTGTGCACGTAACTCTTATCGAAGCTATCGCAAGCATGAGTTGGAATTGACGTGGTCAGCAGTGTTTTTACGAGAGCTGTCATGGATGCTACTACGTAATATCGGCTGGCGTCTGTGTCGAATTTCATCGATAGGTAGGATATCAAGTGCACATCGAATACATCGAGTACTACATCTTGTACAGCGCACATAGCAAGCTCGTATGGTATACTCGCATTGCTGTAACCTGAAAAGACATCGAGCAACTAATAACTTTTCGGTTGGGCAATAAGAGCGAATCACGTATGGAACATTGTCCTATTGAGCCCAGCTCAGGTTCACTTACACGTCCTAGCCTGAATACATCAACTTGAAGCTAATAACACACGAAGAAATGTACGCTTTTGTTTGCTTGCTTTTTTTAGCGTATCCTACTCTTGTCGAGAAGTAACGATTTCACGTGGCTTACGGTCGCAAGCATGAAGACCCGTGACATCGCACGGCGCACAGTTGGCGCACCGAGGGCCTGGAAGCTCCTGGAGGGACGTGTCACTAATGTGCTAGTGCTTCGCTTGCATGAGATCACTCGCTCGCTAGTCCTGTCATTCGCCCATCCATCCATCTATCCGTGGTTGGTCCGTCCGTATGTCAATCTGTGTTCGTTCCTCCGTAGCTCATGCTATGTATACGCTGGCAGTTTTCGCAGTGGTCCACCTACTATTTCATGGCGTATCAAAGAAACAATGTAAACAAAAATAATCCTTTGCCGGGAGTAGAAACCCCGACCTCTGGGTTCACGAAGAGGGGGGGGGGAGGGGTTAACCCACCACGCCAATACCAAAGCCATGACAGAGGCTACGCAAACGCATTCTTAATCTCTTTCAAAGTGCTCTTGTTCACAGGGTGGGGTCGACGTTTGAAAACAGAAGAGTCAAGTTACGCGTGGCTTCCGCGATTCACTCAGGCAACACACTGTTGTTATTACCATTCTATTCGGCACGTTTTCAGTAGAAGAGAAATTTTGTCTTTATTTTAACCCAACACAAGGAAGTCGCTTGAACCCAAGCTTCGCTTGCGTACTAAAATATCGCTCTTTGACACTCGCCTGACAGTTGCACCACGTACCTTGCTCGTGTTGTGAGAAATCGCGCTAGAGCAAAAGGTACACACTTGGGTGTCATAATTGCCTACTGGCTGTTCTGTGTGGTCCTTCTCGTGATGACCGCTTTAACGTTTTTGTGTTTGCCCGACTTTTAGCACAAGCCCAATATACTGCTTCTACGAGTGTTCCACCCTAATTCTGAATCAATGACCAAATGTGTAGTTACTGCCAAGTTTTTCGAAAATAGTTGAAGTCTAGTCTGTCACCATCAGGTTTACTACAGTAACAAGGTTGAAAACGTCAAGCATTTCTAGTTTTGCGGATATTTTACTATATATGACCTTTTTATATGACTTGAACTCAGGACTCACTGAAGCTGTTCTTTGTTTACTTCTTTTCAGAGTGTGTACTGTGGACAAAGGAGAAGAACGCTGACAATGTTCCAGCCATTTGTAAACAACAACTTGAAGAGAAGTGCGAAAATGCTACAATATCCTACGACGAAAAAACGTGCAATCCAGTTGGTTTGTAACTAGGCGTATGAAGACATCACATTTTCAAAACACCAGTGTCAAACTACGAAGACAAAAACGCACTATAACTCATGCTTTTGTACCTCGTGTTTCGAAGCATATTTCTATAGTTTAATGAAGATCGACGTTTTCCCAATAAACTTTAAACTAGGTTAAAACCCATCGTGTGAAATATGTTGGTTCGACGACCAATCGAAGCCACGTGCTGTCTGGCGTCGATTTTATAATATATATTCACCATGCTTCCAGGATCGCCATAAATGCATGATGACAACCTGCATCAAGCGTATGCTCTGCAGCCGTCCTATCTAAACATCGGGCAATAAATAAAGCCCAATGTTTAGATGCCCCGCCGTGGTGGTATAGTGGCTAAGGTACTCGGCTGCTGACCCGCAGGTCGCGGGATGAAATCCGGGCTGCGGCGGCTGCATTTCCGATGGGAGCGGAAATGCTGTAGGCCCGTGGGCTCAGATTTGGGTGCACGTTTAAGAACCCAGGTGGTCAATATTTGCGGAGCCCTCCACTACGGTGTCTCTCATAATCATATGGTGATTTTGGGACGTTAAACCCCACATATCAATCTATTGTTTAGATCATTTCCAGGAAAACGTCTCAGCCAGAAATTCGACCATCAGTGATAACGCGTAGAAAGTGAGCTGAAAGGTGAGTGTGCGATGACATTTTAAAGGCAGTACTTCCGTTCAGGATAGCACGTGCTAATGTGATAGCCCTTTCAATGCTCCAGCAATGGGGGAAAGTTAGGTAGGAATAAATTACGTGTGTTCAACATTAAAATAGACTACAACTACACGTTGTCTTTTAAAGCCTTTTATTAGTATTGGTCTTACACGTGACGTCACAAGTAAAGCTTCCCAGCTTAAGTAGGTTTATCAAAGAAGGAAGGATGTTTATGAATGCAGATACTTTTTGTGAAAGATGCGGCGATGTTTCAGCCACAAAAGCTTCTTTGCTCTTTTATCTGTGGACATTTCATTTGTTAAAAATATGTTCGACCTGTTTAAACAAACATTAACAAAAAGTTGCAATGTTCGTAAAAATATTCTTTTTGGAATTTGATCACGCGTATTTTAAGCATTGGTGTCTTCGCAATAAAAATATATGAAAGAGTTCATCACATTCTGCAACGTTTTTTTTTCTTTTGTAGTGGGAATCTGTACTCGAGTAATTTTTGCTTGCAGCAAAAAACAGGTTTAAATGCTAACAACCAATGTTACGGAAGTGCATTTCTCAGGTCATCCGTGATAATACCGTGTACGACGTTTGCCTCCAGGTAAGTCTCATTCTGCCGACATGAAGCTGCGTACTCTATCGATGAGCTGTGTTGACGTTTATGAAAACCATATAATTGTTGTTTTTATGTGGTATCTAGCAGAAGCAGCCGTATACTGCCACGTGCAAACGTTTGTGGCGTGCTACAAAAATAAATAAAAACTAAAGTTATACAGTTATGGCATTAAAATATCATATACGTTTTAGAGTCATGTCATCGGTGCTATGGGTGCATGACCCGCTGACGTCGCCGAGAGGCAGCAATCTGAAGTTTAACCACAGTGAGTCAAGTTGAAGTGCTCACCTCGTTTTTTTTTGCATTTTACGGCTCTCGTGTTTTGCTTGCTCTATATATCTTCACCAACGCGGCTGTGTTTGCTGGCTGTGACTTGCTGAAAAACTGATACAGCGTTACACGTGGAGAGCGTCCCTTGGTGCTGTCTCCGTTGTTGGGGCAGCCCACAACACAACAATACTTCGGACCTCACTGATGCTTCCATGGGGCCACTTATTTCATCGCCGAAAGGCAAGTTCGTACAGTGAGCGTCTCGTTTTAACGCGCCAAGGTGACGGCACGGTGCCTGAAAGTTCCCCGCACCGACTGCAGAGCGCGTTGCGGGCGTGTCGCACGTGCTCCCGTTTCGGCGAGACTGGCACACTACTGAATATCCTGCAACCTTTCCCGTATCTCTCCTCAAGTTTTCCGGAGCTCGCCGCCAGGGCCAGGCACAGCATTGTCATCGCTCCACAAACTTGAGCTGCGGTTCCCTATAGGCACCGCACACTGACCAGAGGCAGCTGCGTTGCCCACACTGCCCCGTCTCAAAGTCTTTGACATTCGCCGTCAGGAGGGGCCCACAGAAAACAGACGCGTGCGCGCATCTCCTATGTATGCCGGCCACAATCCGCCGACAGATGCAGGGCGCGAGACGCGCGTGTCGCGTTCCATTTTCACCGACGCCCGCCTTAAGGTTGTTTTTTTTTATCCGCTAGGCTATGTAATCTGGCGCTGCAGTAAGTCTAGAAAACTCGACTGAACGGTGCCTATAACAGCCAGTATTGGAGTATCATTTGCGTCTAGGGCGTTGCACATTCACAACAGGGCACATGCTTTTTGTTGTACCACACCAGCGCGAAGACAGACCACAAGCATCATTCATGCCTCAATAACACTTGGTTTGCCTATGCAAAACACCATAATCTACCTACTAAATACTGTTTTCTCTGTTCGCTTCACTGGATATTGCGGCGCTGCTGTTAACAATAAAAAAACTTCAGCGGTGTTTGTTTAATTGAAACGTCGTTTCACGCAATTAAATAAAAATTACTGAACAAAAATGTTTCGAGTGAGAAGAAAAAGCGTTGCTTGTGGTTAAACTTTCCATTAAGCCTTCTGAATGAAAAAAAAATGTCTTAGCAAACTCTTTTTTAGAGTGACATTTGCATATCTACTACATATCTACTAAGCCACCTAAATCAGAGTGCTGTTGTGATTGGCTCTTTTGCATTGCAATCATATTATCGAGGCTTTACGTCTCCCAGTCTTGCTATTATTATGAGAGACGAACTAGTGGAGGGATTCGCATACTGTGACCCTCTGGTGTTCTTACATAACATAGTACAGGCGCGCCTTTGCAATTCGCCTCCATCAACATACGACCACTGGGGCCATGGGATTGAACCAGTCACATTTGAGTGAGCATCTGAGCAGCAATAAGGACTGCTTCACCGCGGTGGTCACCTCTTCACCCTTAAAATAGGCCTGACAAGATGAGAGGGTATTAGAACTATATATATGGCTACCTCGTCACGGCCTGATTAACGTGGAAGTTCTGTCGAGCACGTCGTTTGACCCTTTCCTCGAGATACGTGCGGCCCATACACTGTGTTCAAAGTGCCCTGGTTTACGAGTATGCGCCATGGGATACTGGAAGTTTAACCCCACCGTGGTGGTCTAGTGGCTACAGTACTCGGCTGCTGACCCGAAGGTCGCGGGTTCGAATCCCGGCTGCGGCGGCTGCATTTCCGATGGAGGCGGAAATGTTGTAGGCCCGTGTGCTCAGATTTAGGTGCACGCTAAAAAACCACAGGTGGTCGAAATTTCCGGAGCCCTTCACAACGTACGGCGTCTCTCATAATCATATGGTGGTTTTGGAAGGTTAAACGCCACATATCAATCTATCAATCGATATTGGAACTTTATGGCCGCCCAGAAACGGCTGGAATAGACATCGTTATTTTAATCAGGTGTGTAATACCAACACCGGCAACGTAATACAGACGATCAAAAAGAATAATTCGTTAATGGGGAAAACATACCTATTTAGTCACTGGACGTTCTCTGAAGAAAAGCTCCAGCAGAGCTCGATTGAAACTTGGTAGTCAAGTGGTGTACAGCAGAGTTCTACCAGGTCTAGCAACTGCTTTGAAAACGATCCTATGCAGGCGTGATCTATATACGACGTCAATTGTGGTTGTAGTACTAGCTAGCTGTCACACAGGTCCCGTTAATTAGGGAGGCGATCGCCGGGCTCACGGTGCCACCACTGCTGAACACACATTCAGCAGTGGTGGCACCGTGAGGCTCGTCGACTGGCTACTAAAGCAAATCGTCTTCCTTTTCCCAGGAATCGACGTCTATCAAGAAACATCGGTGCTACCATCCATCGGTGCGACGTCCAGTGGCACAAACGTTGGATAACAAGCCTGACGTCATCACCGAGAACGTATAAAAAGAAGAAAACATCGTGTGTCCTGTCACACACATTCAGCAGTGGTGGCACCGTGAGGCTCGTCGACTGGCTACTAAAGCAAATCGTCTTCCTTTTCCCAGGAATCGACGTCTATCAAGAAACATCGGTGCTACCATCCATCGGTGCGACGTCCAGTGGCACAAACGTTGGATAACAAGCCTGACGTCATCACCGAGAACGTATAAAAAGAAGAAAACATCGTGTGTCCTGTCACACACATTCAGCAGTGGTGGCACCGTGAGGCTCGTCGACTGGCTACTAAAGCAAATCGTCTTCCTTTTCCCAGGAATCGACGTCTATCAAGAAACATCGGTGCTACCATCCATCGGTGCGACGTCCAGTGGCACAAACGTTGGATAACAAGCCTGACGTCATCACCGAGAACGTATAAAAAGAAGAAAACATCGTGTGTCCTGTCACACACATTCAGCAGTGGTGGCACCGTGAGGCTCGTCGACTGGCTACTAAAGCAAATCGTCTTCCTTTTCCCAGGTTGGTGCTCATCTGTATGTAAAATTTGACATATCCTGGTTGAGTACGCGGTTGCCACTGCTGCTGAGTAACTAACATGACCAACACCTGCATTTCTTGTCATGAAGTTTTGCGGGACGCACCATACCTGTCATGTTTAGAGTGTAAATATACGTATCATTTAGGTGCATGTTCAGGAGTAACAGAATCGGCATATAAAAAGAAATATGCAGCGGCGAAAAACTCGTGGAGCTGTGCAACTTGCAAAACGTCGAAAGCTCGAAGCAGCAAGTGTGCTGAACTAGAAAATGTGGAGCAGGAAATGAACCTCGCAAAAGAAATAGGCGAAATTCAGAAGAAACTATCACTACTTCTTTCAATGAAGTCGCAAGTCGATGCTCTGGCAGGTGTTGCTGACACTGTATGTGGTATTGAAAGGTCACTACAGGAAATGTCAAGCAAGTATGATGACGTGCTTGCCGAAATGAAGCGACAGAGTACTGATATGAGCAATTTAAGAAAGCGAGTGGAAAAACTTGAAACGCAGACTAACAATAGTGAAGTAGAAATGCTTAAGCAAGAAGTTAATAACCTTGATCAATTTAGCAGACGCCTTAACCTGGAAATCCATGGACTAGTCGAACAA